TTCTAGTTGAAAAGCTGATGAAGTAAAAGTAAATGAGCTAAAAATGATCTATAATAACCCCAATCCAATCTAAGCCATAAAGAGGGTAATTGTATTGCTCTTTGGTCTTATCTATTGTGCTGATAGGGCATGCAATTATAAGGGATCATATCACAATCTTAAAATAATGATATAATCCAAAGCGATTCAATTCTGATGATGAATTTTCAACGTTCACTTTCTATAACTGCAACAAAAACAATCAAAAACAAGATACCAGATTATTGAATGGTTAGCAGTACACTATCCCATCTAATATTATCTTTCCACTTGCCAGTTTTTGAGATTGCCCCTAAAATGCTAAATTAAAATCATGTTGTCATAACAGCATTTAAATCTGGAAGATTATTTTGAAATTTCAAGAATTCTTTCCACTTCTCTTTTCACTTAATTTCCAAATTATTTTAGTAAGAAACATCTCCCATTTATTTTGAACAACATGCATTTCTTATGTCCCTTACCTCTGGTGGTGTCTAGTACTGTCTACTGGTTATTTCTTCTGTTCTGCATGCATGTGGATTTACAATTGAACACTTCCTTTGCCAGATCAGAGTATCTTTGTTTTTAAACGCATGGACCTACCATCAGTGTCTTCATAGAGCTCATAGACTAGGACTTCTACAAATGTTTTCCTACAATTACTAATGTTTTGAAGTTCCTCTCTTTCTAATTTTTTTCTTTGAATTTTCAACTAAGCAGTAATTTTTCAGCAGTTCAATTAACATACATATTTCCACAATTTTTCAAAACCTACTTTAAATCATTGAATTTCAAATGAAAATATTTGATTGGGCAAAACTATTAACAGATGTTTCCCATTGAAATGACAAGATAATTCCATAAATAAGAACAATTCTTGAAATTCACGGCAAAACATATCTCTCTCTAACAATAATGTGAGAAGAAAATGAATTAGGAATCCAGTTCAATATATTGTAAGAAAGGCAGTTTAAGCAAAAATGCATGTTCAACATTTTAAAAACATAAATGGACATGATAGATGGGACTTGTCAGCTGCCTCGGAGTTTGTCAGTTTATTAGGAAGCAATCTGTCTCTAAGACTTAAGGCAAGGTAGATGTAGTAAACAGAGGGTCTAGAGTCAGATTACATACATTTGAACAAAGGAGATTAACAAACATACTTATTTTTGATTCCACAGAGATTCTTTTTCTATTAATCTCACATTTGAGTAACTTTTGAAAAATAAATGACCACAAAACCTAATAAATGTACATGTGCCTGTACATATTGATATAACAAATACTCAAGGTGGGAATGTACATATAATCAAATATCCTTGTCACTCCTTGTGTCACCCCCCTCTCCCCCCACCCCCTGGGTGTCACCTACTTCATTGTTTATTATTGTATGCATTTTATGAAATAAATTGAAAAAAAAGATTGAAGGTAGATTAAGACATTTAGAAGATATGAAAGCACCAAAACCATGTTTACCATATGTTATTTCCTGTATGTAGACTTCTGACATATGAACCTTGTCCTAAATGTTAGACTGGCCAACAGCAGGGAACCAGCAGAGAAGCCAAAGGAAGCTGGGAGGAAGGAACTAGCTATACTCTAGATTTACACATTTTTGACTGTTGGGGTTGACCTAAAATATATTTTCTCACTATAGAGACTAATTCAACACTATTTAAGCAATGGCATTCTTAACATCCTTCATTCATGGGACTTCATTTATTACCCCAATTCAGGCCTTTGTGCAAGACCAGGTAGTTTCATTTTAGGGGTAATAAATAAGCTGAGTTTCCTAGTGGTCAATGCAGAAAATGTGTTCTCCAATCATAATGTTCACTACATAATTCAATGGGAATGTTTTGTGACGCACCTGATATGACAACAGAATTGAGACTTTTGCAATTGTGAGCAGGCTCGTGGTCAGGATTTACCAGGGGGGGGGGGGGGGCAGTTTTACCAAGGGGAGCTTTTGCCAAGAGGGGAGCTTTTTGACAGTTTTGGAATGGTGAAAATCTGGCTACGGGCCTGGTGAGTGTTCATGGACGGCCTCTACGTGTATCCCTCAGATAGAGGTCTATAGTGTTGTTGGGGGGGGGGACCCGGGGGGGGTGTAAGAGGAGCACCAGGACTGTGTGTGAATGTTATAGCAGCATGTGCAATGACTTTCACTTCTAATATAACATTGCCTGCTTCCTGATTATTCACACATGGTTAGGCACGGTATGTCCAATTCCAGCTTATCCCGTTCCCGGACTATAGTCCATAGTCCGGGAACGGGATAAATTCCAGCCAATCCGAAAACAGTTTTACATGACAGCAGTGCATCATGATTGGATTTGAACTGTAACTTGGAAATCTTTTCATACTAAATAATCTACTCACCACAAAAGACGCACAACAGGCCCAACAATGCAATTAACACTTTTCAAATCCCAGGTTTCAAATCTGGCACGTCGAGAAATACGTTTTCTTTGATGACTGATAAATTCTGCACAACTTGCGGCTCTTCAAATAACGTGGTGAAATGCACTTATAGAACATAATCATGACTGCCATCTATATTTAAAATAGCAAAACCAATCACATACTGATGCATCTCTAATAAGGCCATTAAAAATAAATATATTATGAGTTGAATGTCCAGTATCATTATAACGGTACTAAAAGTAAATCAAATCATGGGTTTCAACTAGATTGAAAGCCCATGATCAAATGAAGCCCAAAACCTGGATTATATCTTTCTACATAGTCTAGTACTGATAAATTGTTTCATGCTTTCATCTCCCCCAATGCAAGGAATAATGAGATTTTATTTGGTTTAGTCATGGGCTTTCAACTAGTTGAAAGCCCATGGTTTAGTTGAAGGTTTATTGACATGAAACAAATTTTGACTATCATGCTGAATGGTAGTTCAACAAGTTAAACGGGTGAGCGGAGGGGGGGGGGGTGCTCAAACCATTCGAAATCCCCCCCCCATATTTAGAAAGTTATGGAACTGAAAAAGGAAATATCATATTCAACAAATAATATCATGTAAATTTTTCAAATTGTAGAGATCCCCTCAATAAGCATAAGGTTACTCCTGAGTAATCATTTTTCTTAAAATAGGTTTTTTGATAAAAATAAATGATTCATTGACCTGTGGCCTAAATTGGCTTTTTGAATATACTAGATGCGAGTAGAAATAATCTTGATTAAAGTCATTAAAAATTCACAATTCAGTCAAACTGATGTCATATTTGGAATCTACGTGTAAAATTACATCTAGAAATGTGGTTTTGAAAAGAAAAAATTTAATTTTCTTTGAAAATGTGACTTCTAGGTCGGGGAGATTCCCCATAGACCCCATGTTGTAAAACCACAAGAAGTGCAATATCTTTTCTTGTGTTGGGCAGATAATATTTTCTTTTACTGGACATATTTTAATTTGTATAACTATCAGATACATAAAGGTAATATGAAAAGTGAACCACTAAAACTGATGAATATTCAGGTTTAATGGAATTTTGTAATACCCTGCCATGTTAATTCCCCCGAATCAGCCACCTGGTGGCGAAACTGGTAACTAGCTACTCGCATCTGAGTAATTGATACAACATAATAGATTAAATTATTCATGTAATGTCATTAGGTTTTTTTATTTAGTAGTTTTTGGTGGCCATATTGGTTCTATCTCACTTTTTCTATTTCTACCTTTTTATGAAGGTTCTAAAACATCATAAGGTATTTTATAATTTATATGAGATCAAACAGTGATAGACTTAAAGACTGCTAATATTTAAAATAAGGTGAAAGCCTGAGACCAGTCTTTTAAGTTTTCAATCTTTTGTCAGATTGATGGTGAATGTTAGCAGATGGCATTCTGATTTTTATTTTTGAAATATTTTAGGATCAGAGCTCAAGTTCTGAAAGACTAATATAAATAGTAGATATTATCTGGTGGTGGGGAAGGGGTCTATCAGGTTCATGAAATCTCTTATAATTTATTTCTTAAACCCTTTTTGTTAGATGTTACTATTATGTTTTGGGATGGTTTCATATTAGTAGGCCATCTTGTGTTTGCAGAGTCCCGATACATTATCTCATTAAATCCTCTCTCTTTGGTGGAATTTCCTTTGCAAGTATGATAGTGATAATACTATTCCAAATCCAATACTGTAAGTTGCTTTAATTAGATGCTATTTAATTTGGCGAATTTTGAAATTTTGGCTGCTATTTAATTAGGCGGATTTACCCATTGGTAAAATGCGGATATTAGAAGGTTTTTACAAAGATTCAAATAATGCTCTCGTTTTTCAAAAGAAGATCTAGATCTTCGAAAATAGTTCAATATTGACATTTTAGTGGGGTATTTTCAAATGTTTTTAACTTCTCTTGCTAGGGAATCCCGGGGATTTATCCACAAAATTATCAAAGACAATTTGGCAGTTGTCATCAATCCACCAAATTAAAATGGCCGTCAAATTAAAGTAACTTTCAGTAGTTCCCTGAGTGAAATGAACAACATTTCTTTTAAATTGTATAAAATTTTATTCAACAATAAATAAATAATACAATAATAATAATTGTTGTTCAATAATATACAATCTTTCGTGTTATAGCCTAATGTGCTTTGACAAGGACTAAATGTTTGCTACACGTTAGGTCTTGGGTTGCCATGGAGATTACTAAATGTTTTACCAATGACAATATCATTTAATGGGAACACAAATGTAACACTCACTTTCAAGTACATTTCCTACAAAGATTGCACTCCTCATCATTAAAAATGGATTTACTTGTTTTCCCAACCTGTTGACAATCAGAGAGAATACAGAAGTGACTGGTGCAATCTGTCCTTAACCTAGCAGTAAAATACTTTATAATACCCTGAATTAAGCCATTTTAGAACCCTTCTTTACAATCTCATACAGTCATACTTTTAGAGTTTCTTGTATAAATCTATGCTGTAAGTTGCAGTACTGTCATGGATATATTTGTACATATGAAGCCACTGATACACTACACAGGCCTAAAGCTAATGCACAGTAATAAAGCATTGTATGAAACTAAACCAGCTATGTAATTTTCCAGGTCATAGACTTACAATAATTCTTCTGTAAGTCCATGACAAGATATAAAGAATGTACAAATAATAAAAATGAGTATATCTAATGGCTCTTTTGAAATCCTTCACTAATTTTTACAGTTGTGTGACAGGATGTTTCACATGTTTAGCTATGTAATACAACTATTGCATGTCTCCAAGTAAAAATACATATTTGTTCTACAACTGAATGGCACAGCAACCTCTGACACTGTTTACACACTATTACTTTTCACTTAGAGAATCAATCTACATTAAAATTCTTGCAGTTTCATCCTTTGGACACAGGAGAAATGGCTTATATTTCACTGTATTGCATGAATATTACTTTTTGTCCCAAATTTGTTCAAGTATTCTTCAGTCATTGCACTTTCTCTGCTCCTGTGCACAAAACAATCAAACAACACAGAGAAAGATGCTTCCTTATCCCACAATGCATCTTTGTTCTTGAGTTAAAGCATCCTGGGATCAAAGCTCTTCCTTTACTAAACTATCTATGGAGTAACATTTGGTGATTCCTAAAATTATCCTAAAATTCTATTCATTATACTTGTTCAGCTATTTTAGAACATATTTCATTAGTGAACTCTGAACATTTAGCTTTTCCTCCCAGATCTCCAGTGACAGCCTGTAAATATACACATTTAAAGTTAGAAACATGTCTAAACAAGGCATTAACATGACAAAATGTCACCACCTAGTTGCTCACAATATTATGAGTTCAAACTTAAGTCAGATTTGAATTTCTGAGAACTCGCAAAGTCAAATTTGAACTTCTGAAAAGATGTAGATGATTTTGAAAAAACAATTTGGTCAATTTGAAGCAATGTCAAATCTAAAGTCATATTTGAATTTCTGAGAACATGTAGATGATTTTGAAAAAAAATTTAGTCAATTTGAAGCAAGTTGAAAAAAGACCTTTTTGACCTTTTATGACTTTGAGAAGGTCATTGAAGGTCAAATGTCAAATCTTAAGTCAAATCTAAAGTCAGATTTGAATTTCTGAGAACACGTAGATGATTTTGAAAATTTTTTTTAGTCAATTTGAAGCAAGTTGAAAACAGACCTTTTTGACCTTTTTTGACCTTGAGAAGGTCATTGAAGGTCAAATGTCAAATCTTAAGTCAGATTTGAATTTCTGAGAACACGTAGATGATTTTGAAAAAAAAATTTAGTCAATTTGAAGCAAGTTGAAAACAAACCTTTTTGACCTTTTTTTACCTTGAGAAGGTCATTGAAGGTCAAATGTCAAATCTAAAGTCAGATTTGAATTTCTGAGAACATGTAGATGATTTTGAAAAAGAAATTTAGTCAATTTGAAGCAAGTTGAAAAAAGACCTTTTAGACCTTTTTTGACTTTGAGAAGGTCATTGAAGGTCAGATGTCAAATCTTAAGTCAAATCTAAAGTCAGATTTGAATTACTGAGAACACGTAGATGATTTTGAAAAAACAATTTGGTCAATTTGAGGCAAGTTGAAAACAGACCTTTTTGACCTTTTTTGACATTCAGAAGGTCATTGAAGGTCAAATGTCAAATCTAAAGTCAGATTTGAATTTCTGAGAACATGTAGATGATTTTGAAAAAAATTTTTAGTCAATTTGAAGCAAGTTGAAAAAGACCTTTTTGACCTTTTTTGACTTTGAGAAGGTCATTGAAGGTCAAATGTCAAATCTTAAGTCAAATCTAAAGTCAGATTTGAATTTCTGAGAACACGTAGATGATTTTGAAAATTTTTTTTAGTCAATTTGAAGCAAGTTGAAAACAGACCTTTTTGACCTTTTTTGACCTTGAGAAGGTCATTGAAGGTCAAATGTCAAATCTTAAGTCAGATTTGAATTTCTGAGAACACGTAGATGATTTTGAAAAATTTTTTTAGTCAATTTGAAGCAAGTTGAAAACAGACCTTTTTGACCTTTTTTGACCTTGAGAAGGTCATTGAAGGTCAAATGTCAAATCTTAAGTCAGATTTGAATTTCTGAGAACACGTAGATGATTTTGAAAAAAAAATTTAGTCAATTTGAAGCAAGTTGAAAACAAACCTTTTTGACCTTTTTTTACCTTGAGAAGGTCATTGAAGGTCAAATGTCAAATCTAAAGTCAGATTTGAATTTCTGAGAACATGTAGATGATTTTGAAAAAGAAATTTAGTCAATTTGAAGCAAGTTGAAAAAAGACCTTTTAGACCTTTTTTGACTTTGAGAAGGTCATTGAAGGTCAGATGTCAAATCTTAAGTCAAATCTAAAGTCAGATTTGAATTACTGAGAACACGTAGATGATTTTGAAAAAACAATTTGGTCAATTTGAGGCAAGTTGAAAACAGACCTTTTTGACCTTTTTTGACATTCAGAAGGTCATTGAAGGTCAAATGTCAAATCTAAAGTCAGATTTGAATTTCTGAGAACATGTAGATGATTTTGAAAAAATTTTTTAGTCAATTTGAAGCAAGTTGAAAAAGACCTTTTTGACCTTTTTTGACTTTGAGAAGGTCATTGAAGGTCAAATGTCAAATCTTAAGTCAAATCTAAAGTCAGATTTGAATTTCTGAGAACACGTAGATGATTTTGAAAATTTTTTTTAGTCAATTTGAAGCAAGTTGAAAACAGACCTTTTTGACCTTTTTTGACCTTGAGAAGGTCATTGAAGGTCAAATGTCAAATCTTAAGTCAGATTTGAATTTCTGAGAACACGTAGATGATTTTGAAAAAAAAATTTAGTCAATTTGAAGCAAGTTGAAAACAGACCTTTTTGACCTTTTTTGACCTTGAGAAGGTCATTGAAGGTCAAATGTCAAATCTTAAGTCAGATTTGAATTTCTGAGAACACGTAGATGATTTTGAAAAAAAAATTTAGTCAATTTGAAGCAAGTTGAAAACAGACCTTTTTGACCTTTTTTGACCTTGAGAAGGTCATTGAAGGTCAAATGTCAAATCTAAAGTCAGATTTGAATTTCTGAGAACATGTAGATGATTTTTAAAAAAAAATTTAGTCAATTTGAAGCAAGTTGAAAAAAGACCTTTTTGACCTTTTTTGACTTTTAGAAGGTCATTGAAGGTCAAATGTCAAATCTAAAGTCAGATTTGAACTTCTGAGAACATGTAGATGATTTAGAAAAAAAATTTAGTCGATTTGAAGCAAGTTGAAAAAAGACCTTTTTGACCTTTTTTGACTTTGAGAAGGTCATTGAAGGTCAAATGTCAAATCTAAAGTCAGATTTGAACTTCTGAGAACATGTAGATGATTTAGAAAAAAATTGAAGTCAGTCTAAACAGTATTTGTTAAGTTATAGGAAGTTGTAAGAAATTGAAGGTCAAATGTCAAATCTTAAGTCAAATCTTAAGTCAGATTTGAATTTCTGAGAACACGTAGATGATTTTGAAAAAAAATGTTAGTCAATTTGAAGCAAGTTGAAAACAGACCTTTTTTGACCTTGAGAAGGTCATTGAAGGTCAAATGTCAAATCTAAAGTCAGATTTGAACTTCTGAGAACATGTAGATGATTTAGAAAAAAATTGAAGTCAGTCTAAACAATTTTTTTTAGTCAATTTGAAGCAAGTTGAAAACAGACCTTTTTGACCTTTTTTGACCTTGAGAAGGTCATTGAAGGTCAAATGTCAAATCTTAAGTCAAATCTTAAGTCAGATTTGAATTTCAGAGAACACGTAGATGATTTTGAAAAAAAAATTTAGTCAATTTGAAGCAAGTTGAAAACAGACCTTTTTGACCTTTTTTGACCTTGAGAAGGTCATTGAAGGTCAAATGTCAAATCTAAAGTCAGATTTGAACTTCTGAGAACATGTAGATGATTTAGAAAAAAATTGAAGTCAGTCTAAACAGTATTTGTTATGTTATAGGAAGTTGTAAGAAATTGTTACAGACGCCGGACGCCAACCGCCGGACGCCAACCACCAACCGCCGTCGCAAAAAAACGGAGACCATAACAATATGTCACGTGACATAATGATATAATAATATAGTTACTTTCTGGGTTCATTTTAATCTATAATAGCAATATTTGGTGAATTTTATGTTCATGAGATTTATTGGCTATCTAATTTGGCACATTTGGGCAGAGTTAAATTTCTGCACTTTCAAATGTTATTGATTTCACCTAGCCTAGCCTAGCCTAGCCTTTGGACAATGGATACTTGGCTTTGTTATGTTCACATAAAACAAAAAATAAACATATCCCAAGGATTCCATGGAATTTCTCTTCAATTTTAGTGATTACTAATTAGTGAGAACTAATTTTCAGGCTTACCCTTCCTTCAGCTATAGTATCGAAGCAAGCCCTTTCAATAATATCAGCCTCTCTAAACATTTCCATGTGTCTCAACATCATAACAGCACTTAGTAATAGAGCTGTTGGGTTAGCCTTGTCTTCACCTGCTATATCTGGGGCAGAGCCATGAACCTACAATTATTATAAGGATGAGAAATACTTCCAGAAACACAGATTTTTTATTCCTTGGAAACTCAACTGAGCAGGAAACTTTGAAAATGATATATAATAGGGAAAAATCATTTTACAACATGAAACTTTTATATGTAAATGAATTAATTGTATTGTATGTATTGTATGTTTTTGATTTGAAATATAGTTTTTAATAAAAAAAAATCCTTGGAAATCCAACTTGCCAGAATAAAATGTTTTTTAATCTTGAGATGATAACATGGCAATTGCTGACTGATTGTGAACTTTAAAGTAAACTTTATTATCGAATCACTTACTGATTCAAAGAGGGCAGCACCTTCTCCAATATTTCCACTAGGTGTCACTCCTAGTCCACCAATCAGACCAGCACACAGATCACTAAATAAAGTAAATAAGCACACACAAAATATAAATTACTCAGTATAAATAAAAATGATGATGAAAAACAGTTGCATAATTCTAAGTCTAGCCAAATACATGAGCAGAAATGAACTCATATAAATGAAACATATCTATAATTTTTGGCACTGTTATTGTAACCAATTTTCATGCCCAATATTATGAATTAAATTTCCAGATGGACTTGGAATGATAATATTGGTAAGCTAAACATCAGTCTTGTTTCAGGCCCTTGTGACATCCCCCTTGACAACTCATCCACAAGAGGTATTGTAGATAGGGGGTGCATAGAGTTAATGCTGGAGAAGCTAATCAGAATGTTAAGTGGGCTATAAATGAATTACCTGAGAATATCACCATAGAGGTTTGGCATGACTAGAACATCAAACTGTGTAGGATCTTGAACCATCTGGAAAAAATTGAAATTTTAAAATTGAGAATTAATATATTGGAGCTTGAAAGTCGCAAATTATTTTTGGGATTTACTCATACTGTATCAGCTTGGAGATAAAGCGAAAAAGATGGCAATGGCACTGATGTTCCCAAAAGAAACTCAAAGCAGGGCTACTGAAAACTTGATAAAATGTGGCCCAAGTGTCAAATTCATATTTGATGAAGTTGAAAAAGAAGAAAGGCACTTGAACAATGTCAATTCCAAAGAATGATTTATCAACTCTATGGAATATCACTTTCAACGAGATAACTTACATTGAGGCAGACAGTATCAAGGTAGGACTCATTGAATTTAATATCTCTGTGTTCTGCTGCTTCTTCTCTACAACACTTGAGGAATAAACCATCCGACATACGCCTGAAAAATCAACAACAAATATCTCCTTGATAAATATCATGATTTCAATAGCAAACAGGACTTCTTGTTGAATAATAATGACATAATAACTATGCCCAATTTATACGCAATTTGAAATACAAAACCATAGCTGGTTGCATCGAACAGTTGATGAATTGGATACAGCTGATCAGATACACTTGTAACAAAATGGTCGTAGATTTTCAGTTGCATTATGAAATGCAACATTTAATTGTTCATATGGATGTCCAATGTGCATTATTTTGTTTATAACTATCATTATCATATATCTGAACTGCCAAATGAATAATATTGTACTTTTACGAACCCAAGGTGACTAATACTCACATAATATTAGCCTTATGTACTGCTGTGACTGTATTCCTGCCATTTGCCCTGGCATAGTCAAAGGCAAACTTGGCAACTCTGCGAGAGGCCTCTTCTGTAATCAATTTGATACTCTGAACAACACCATCTACTATCTGAAAAACAATGAACAGTTCCTTTCAGTTCACCCCATGATATATTAACATTCATTCATTGCTCTCAATACATTTATCAGCAGCAATAGAAAATTAGTCATCTAGGCACATTTAAAGGCACTTCTGAACTTTATGAATAAAAAAAAACACACACTGATAAATATTGCACATTTCTACCGAAAATTCACAATTGCAACCAAGTTATTTAATCAGTAAGCTCAAAACCTTATTAAATCTTCATCTTTAAGGATTTCAAGTTGAACAGTTGAGCAGTTTTCCTGATGACAAGATTTATGTACGACCCACCATCCCAGACAGATGTATGCCAATCAGCACGAGATAACGACAATATATCATTTTGAAAGTGTGAGCATAAAGGTCAATGTCACAGATTCTATAATGCATCTGGTATCCCTCTATAGACAATTGGACTTACCACATGCTCTATGCCACTGTACTCTCCTTCTGTGTTCTCTCTGATCGTGACTAAGTCCACATTATCATATGGGGTTTTGTAGCCTTCTATAGACTTACATGGCCTCACATTGGCATACAGTGTGAACTCTCTAAAACATAGAAACATCTTACATTATAAAGGGTGATAAAAAAGGATAAGGATGGGAGTAGGTATTACTAAGGCACACAGTATAGATGTGAAGCACTTAAATGATTGAACATTATTTAAACGAAGCCTATGGTTCCTGCACTTTCTAACTTGAATCTTCAATATTCTTTATACCATACACAATGCAATATCAACACCTCAGCTTATAGCTAATATGATATTATTGTCAGGGTGGCTCTGATACAACTTGAAGTCTTCAATACTAGATTATGACATTTTATTTTGGTTAGGTTATCTAATAATAAATCTTATTGAGTCTTGATAGGCATTTTACATGAACTTACTTCCTTAAAGCTAAGTTCAGTGATCTGTGACCTTTACCAATAGGTGTCGCTAGAGGTCCTTTCAGACCAATTTTGTGTTTATGTATGACATCCAGAGCTTTCTGTGGGATATTGAACATGCCATCTGGTCCCCTCACTGGAGTGACATCTATTGGGTCCCAGTCTATAGGTACCTGAAATAAATTGAAAATCACAATTTAAATATATGCGAGAATTCATGGGCTTTCAAGAGCAAAGTATGAAAATCCATGATGTAATGAGTGAAGGAAGAAGCCATTTCTGCTAGAAAATTCAATAAAACTGCAAGATTCGAAAAACTTGTAAAAGTAAAGATAAATCTTAATTTTTGGCTTGTTTATGCCACAATAGCACCCCCTCCTGACTGAAAACCGAATTTTTTTGGGCGATTGCACCCCCCTGACTGAAAGCTACTGAAGGCTACGCCCCTGATTGCTGTATGGACCATAGGTTCTGGGCCGATATAAAGATGGCAGCACCAACAGAATCCAGTATTATCTTTTTATTTTTAAATAAACAAAGATCGACCACCATGCCATCTTTCTTTAAAAATTATTCCTATCGGCCTTTGCCTATGGTATGGACACTATATATGGACTCCTGTGTCATAATGATGAAGATCAAGATCTTGTAGACTCACTATAACAAAATTATTGTTATATTCACCTTAGTAGCTTCAAAGATCTGTTGTACTGACGCGGAGATCTCAGGCCCAATGCCATCACCTGGAATAAGGGTCACTGTCCTTCTTCCTCCAGAGTAACATCTGCAACTCACAGCCTGCTTTATACTTGGGATCTGAAACAGTGAATCACTGAGGTTAGAAATCTCCTATCTGACCCTAAATCGTGATAAAAAGTGACACTTTTGAATTTCATATTTGATCGACACATAGTTGACTCACACTGTACATAATAGCCATATTTCGAGATATGACATTCACATTCTCCAAGTTGCGTTTTTCAATCGACAGACGAAGAATACATGGGAATATAACATAAGGGAAAAGAAGTAAGTAAGCTGAATATAGAAGATGAGATGAGTTTCTATATCTAAATAATACTACTTTTCCCTTGGCCCAGGTGCCTATGGTACTTTTAGCAGGGCTGTCAACTTGGGACCACCTAATATGAGTGACTTCAAAATGTTGGACACCTAAGTCCAAATCTGAACACTTTTGTCCAAATTTTGAACACCTTTGGCCAACTTTTAAACACCTTTGGCCAAAGTTTGAGCACCTTTGCCAAACTTTGAACACCTCAAATTTTTCGCATGAACATGCGTGACACATACGGGATTCGCGTGACAAATCCGAACAAATTGCGTTCGTTTTTTTCCGGCGTTCGTATTTTTACCGTATCGTAAACATATTTCTAAAAAATTTCTACAGAAATATTTTTGCTTGACAATTACCAGGTAAAATGCGTATTTTGCGTGACATTTTCTGTCACGCAAAAACAACTGACGTGACTTCAAATTCTTCAGCAAATGCGTGACAAATACGCAAATTGCGGGACAGTTGACAGGCCTGTTTTAGGCCTAAGCCTAGAGAACAGGAAAATTTGGCGAGAATCATGATCAAAAAATGATATTTTCATTTTCATGGTATGATCTAATGGATCTGTCGCACAATATCTTTCATACGAATACACAGAAAGTCAAGTCATCAAATGAATCAATACAAACCGTGATATATAATGTCGATCCAAGCAAATTTGAAGGAAAAGTAATATCTTACCAATTTTTTCAGGACTTGACCGGCCATGTTGAACGCAATGACGTCAAAATGGAGAATCCCAGGTATTCCCGCTTTCACTTTCGGTTCTCTAAAAAACTAATTTGAGTGTTCAGATCAGGGATAAAATACCAAAAGCTTGCATTATTATTTTATTTATTAATTTTTTGACATTTCGATCATATTGTATTTTTCATAAATGAGTTAGCGGCTTTCAAGTTAGGCGTGTCCTGATTTCCAGCTGTCAAACCACGTGACATTTTACTGGGGAAGTCCTTCCACATTGCTGTAAATTTTCTACAAAATAACATTCATGGCAAGTTTTGACGCAAATGGTAAGTTATTTGATATAATTTGATTCATTTTGATCACCAAATGAATACATGATATATTTATAAGTACATCTTTTATCTGATAGACGTGAAAAACCTATTTGATTGAAAATTTCAATTTGCATGGCATGGAAATTTTTTCAAAAATTATCTGAAATTATTTCCAGTCATCAATGGCAATGGTGATAATTCATTGCCTTGGGTCAGTCACCATCATCAATGTCATGTTCATGATCATCATTTTCAAGATGAATGACACAGTCTCCGTGCTGTCCCTGAAGATTTTTTTCTCGGGACAGATTTTTAGACCATTTTCGTGGGATTTCGTGGGACATACATGTACAGGTAGTCCTGAATTAAAATTCGCAGGATTTTGTGAGATATTCAAAATCAAAATTTGCTGGATTTTCGCGGAACATTCACAAGGAGTATAAGAAGCCAGGGTTCCAACTCAATTTTTTTATCCCCAAGTAATCTGTTCAGTGTATACTGTACCTGCATTACTCACTTCGAGAGCCATGTTAGATTTTGAAACTCATGGCTCACCAATGGAGGAATTGACAGCTGAATAATAATGACCTTTGACACAAGAGTTAAGGTGGTCAGCGGCTTATTTTTGTTCTCTAACTATGTCATACATCATTATCATCCTTCCGTGCAAGTATTGGAGCGCTGAAGTACTTCCTTTACGATCAAGACTTGTAATTGTTAGTCGAGTGAATGTTTTTTCTGCCAAATTCCAATATAGCATTTTCTGCTCAGACAATTTCGTAAATCTCTGGTGGTTGCCCGCACCTAACTCATTTTTAAAATTCATTTCGTTCATTGTGTATCTCACTCCTAGCAAACCGCCATATTGGAAATGAGTTGAAAAAACATTCCCTCGATGAACAATTTACAAGTCTTGATCGAAAAATAAGTATTTCAGAGCTCAAATACTTGCATGGATGGATGATACTGATGTAAGACACAGTTAGAGACCAAAAGTAAGCCGCTGATCTCATTATTCAAGTTTTAAAAGTCACTATTATTCAAATGTCCAGTGCGCCGTGGGAAAGCTATTATATCAAAATCCACATAGCTTTCGCAGGAAGTAATACCTGCATTTTTCTACGTCTACAAGGAGAATGCCCGATAAATGTCATTAATGTCTGACAATGACATTATAACTGGCTGTAAATTCATAATAGCAATCCAAAATATTTGACCTAATATCTTGATCACTTCTTGTGAGTTTTGAAATATTTTTTGTTTGGAAATATCCTCCGATCACAGGGCTTCAAAATCCAGAATATATTCTTTCTTTTTACCCCCTGCAATAAGCAATTACCATTTCCCCGATTAAGAACTCGCAATCTGATTGGCTGTCGTAACACTGTGACAGAAATCATGTATGAGTCATTGCGCATTATTAGATCACATGATTCAGTTAAATCAGGCGCTTCCAAATTGGTTATAGCAGGGGGAAGAAGGAGGTACAAATTCTGGACACCTGCTTAGGAGGATGAAATAAGACCAAAACACACAATTCAAATTTGGAAATGAAAAAATGTGGTTGTTTGATTTCAATATTTGTAATCACATCCTATAATATTTAAAAAAAAAAGATGAATGATTTTTCTTTTGGTCTTCAATCAATTTATTCATTTTATTTCATCTAGTCCCATTTACACAACCAGGATCATAGTGGGCATAGTAGGCATACATGTACATGTAACACTTAGACTAGACAATGTACTGGAATGGGTAAATTAACTCAGCCTTTCTCAGGCCCATAGCCAGGATTTACCAAGGGGGGTTCACTTTTTGAAAAATACCAGGGGTTTCACTTATGATAATTTTGGTCCAAAGATAGCCAAAATCACTTAAAAAGTGCTCAGAATGGTGAAAAACTGCATGATTTTGAAAGAATTCTTGGTCAAATCAAATTATGTCAAATCTTGTTTATTTTACAAAAGCATTGATGATAGAGATCGGGAAGAATTTACACTTATCTAAACAGTTTTTTAATTTTTTTCAATGAACAATCAGCAAAAATTTCTATCTGCTTCTTTGTTTTTTTGTAAAAATAAAAATTATATTCTGGGCAGACAAAGTCGAGTCATACATCCAGTGTATGCCCTAAGGATTCCAGAGCTGCTGGTCAAAAAGGCATTACTGACCAGTTGCAATGTTATTTTCCTATACCTAGTGAAAAAATCAACTGGTCAGTATCAAAAGTAACCAGATAATGACCAGCTGTCCGACGCTTAAGGCGTGCCCTGCATACATCTTGACATGGTTAATGATGTATATCGTATCTAATCTTATCATATGAAACATTCTAAAAGCAACATTACCTCCTAGAAATCAGCATTTGAAGTGACATTGTTTCATTGCAGAGCACCAGCACAATCGCTATAACCCTCTGAAGGATGAGTGGGTATTGGTGTCACCACATCGTATGAAGCGTCCATGGAGTGGACAGGTTGAGAAACCACCCATAGAGAACATACCCAGACATGACCCCAAGAATCCACTCTGTCCAGGAAATACACGGCCAAATGGAAAGGTAACTGAAATGTATAGTTACAGTAACTAGGGATGCACTGCAGTATACATCCACTCTTTCTAAGTAGGGGTCAGTTTTATAGGGTACATGATATGCCACAAAAATAGATATATTTTCATTTGTTTAATAATTCAATAATTGATTGATGCATGCACCATCTGTTTTTAAGTAGACACTTTATTTAAAAGTACAAATCTAATTACGAAAAATATTACTATTGTTCATTGTATTCAGGCCCGTAAGACACTTTTCTCCAAGGGGGGTGCGGTTTTTAGCCTACTAAAGAGAATATAAAATTGTCAATTTCTTTGCCGGGTAAATCAAATCGCATAAGTCAGAGGGGGGGGGGGGGCTCAGTTACTCCCTATATTGGTTTGGAATTAACAAATGCAAGTTCCAATTGTTTTGTGGGGGGTGTGAGGAGTGGTCCACTCCCCCTAGAAAATTTTACAGTTTTGAGATGCTATTTGGTGCTTTCTGGGCACTTTCAAAGTGTAAGTTTCCAAGTAGTACGCCACCACCATGGGAATTAGAGTTGAGTTAATAAAAACCGAGCATTCAGGGGGGTCTCTGGGGGTTCTCCCCCAGGAAAATTTTAAAATTTGGTTGTATTTGGAGCGAATTTGCAACCATCTGGTACACCTGTGCGTTATGAGTCAATAAGAAAAATATGTATTTTTTTCAATTTCTTTTGGGGGTGTCAAAGTGGATGAGAGGGTGAAGTGGGGTGTGGTAGGGGAGCAAGGGGGTTGTCCCCCAGAAACATTGACCATATCAAGGTGCTATTTGATGATGTCTGGGCACTTAAAAAATGTCTGAGACAATACATGAAATTCAGAATATTTTCTTTTGTTTTGTGGTGGATGTGAGGGGTGGCTAACTCTCCTAGAAAATTTTACAATTTAAAGATGATATTTGGTGCTTCTGGGCACTTTTAAAGTGTATTAGTCAATACAAACAGTGAAAAACAATCACAATTTTTTTTCAAATTTTGGGGGTGTCAAGGGGGGGGGTGCCAGAGGGGGAGGTGGGGCTGGGGTGCCAGAGAGGAGCAAGTGTTTGTCCCCCATATCAAAATTTACAATATCAAGGTGCTATTCGATGAAGTTTGGGCACTTTAAAAGTGTCTGTGCCTAAAAATGCCTATCTTCCCAAGAAAATTTTACAATTTTAAGATGCTATTTGGTGCTTTCTGGGCACTTTAGTCAATAAGGTCAATATTTTTTTTTGGGGGGGGGGGGTGTTAAGGGGGGGGGTGCAAGAGGGGGAGGTGGAGTGGGGATGCCAGAGGGCGAGTAAGTGTTAGTCTTCCAGAATCATTAACTTTATCAAGGATGATGATGATGTCTGCGCAATTTAAAAGTGTCTGAGACAGTAAATAACAAATTCAGAACTTTTCCATTGTTTTGTTTGGGATGTGAGGGGTGGCCCACTCCCCCTAGAAAATTTAACAATTTTACAACGCTATTTGGTGCTTTCTGGGCACTTTCAAAGTGTATGAGTCAATTAAAGAATTTGAGAAAATCACAATTTTTTTTTTGGGGGGGGGGGGGCGCCAGAGGGGGGGGGGGGGGGGTCTATGCAAGTGCAAGATGCAAGAGGGGGAGCAAGTCCCCCAGAAACACTAATTATATCAAGGAGCTATTTGATGATGTCTGGGCACTTTAAAAGTGTCTGAGACAAAACACTAAAATAAATTTAGAACTTTTCCATTGTTTTGTGGGGGGTGTGAGGGGTGGCCAATACCCCTAGAAAATTTTACAATTATAAGATGCTATTTGGTGCTTTCTTGATACTTTCAAAGTGTATGAGTCAATGAAAAAAAAATTGCAAAAAAAATATTTTTCCAAAAAAACTTTTCAATTTTTTTTTTCAAATATATTTTGGGGGGTGACAAAGGGGGGTGCGGTCGCACCCATCGCACCCCCCCATCTGACGGCCCTGGTATTGTGTACTAAGATTCAATGTGATTCTTCTAGGTGAACCCAAATTATGAAAGTACCTTTACATTTGATAATGATTTCCCTGCCTTGCTGCAAGAGGGACCAGCCCCAGGTAAATATTGTTTGACTTTCAGCTCCTTGTTGGTAACATACTATTGGACTTTAACTCTTCTAGTCTACTATTGTGAACACCTTTCAGCAAGGGAAGTAATGCACTCAAAATTTGAAAAAACATTTAACAATACATTTAGTATAATGTTGTTTACTAATGCATGAGTGTCAGAGAATGTATGAATGTGTGGTTTTGAATTTAAGTACCAGTATATGACATGATCCTTGGAATATGATATATAAATCATTTCAAAGTGCTATTGACTTTTCAGAATGTCTAGTGCCATGTGTATTGTATATGTTGGTGTTGTAGGGCCCAGTGATCACCCTCTGTTCAAGGCATCCCCTGCTAATGGAACCTGTCAGGTTGTCTGCTTCCACCCCTGGTCTGACATCACACTACCTCTCATGTCAATCAAAGAGATCAGAACAGTGATTGACAAGTGGGCAGAACTTATGGTGGATTTAGGCAAAAAGTATACATGGGTTCAGGTGAGCAGTTTAATGGTCTATTTGATATTGGGTTTCATGAGGAGGTAAAAGTTTTGAAAATGTGTACTTCAAGAATATTATTGATATCATTATGTCAAGAATACAATTGTTGTATGTTAAAAGAGGAATGATTTATTTGTCAAGGATTGTGCAGTCAAGATTTTAAATCAAGATTTAGAAAATATTTAACTCTCACATATTGTTTCATTGTAGATTTTTGAAAATAGAGGTGCCATCATGGGATGCTCTAATCCCCATCCACATTGCCAGGTAAGCTTGTATATTTTGTACAGCAGTGGGAAGCTAAAATAAATCAGTGCAAATGGACTAGGTCAATATCTCAATATTATTTTATCTCTCAGGCAGACCCCTTCCCACTCTGCAGAAAATATCATTGATACATTTATTAATGGATTGTTTCAAATTTAAGATTTTCTACGTTGAAATTGATATTAGCAAAAACATATATAGGACTAAATTCCTTCCCCAGAGTATTCTGTTGAATACATACATGATGTGGCCTTATGTCCAGATTGTGACCTTGTCCCTCATTTATATATTTGCTTTTGCAAACATCCTCAATGTAGTTCAGTTTGAGTATATACCAGGCCTGACATATATATTATCATATAGCATAGTAATTTCAAGAATTGCAAAAGTCTTTTTATGTTTTCCTTATATGAATGATTTTCCCATTGTCATAGACACAATTTGTACCTGTAAATTTCGCTCTATACATGTAGGTATGGGCAAGTTCCTTTCTCCCCAATGAACCTCGAGTGAAAGATCGAACTCAACGAGAGTACTATACCAAACATGGAACCCCAATGTTGGTTGAGTATGCCAAAATGGAAGTCCAGAAGAAGGTATATTTATTAAGATAATTATGAAACTATGTGAAAAACATGAGTATAACTGAAATTAATGTTCTCCACCAATGCCACAAATATAATGGTCTTATATCCTAAAAGAATAGAAAATTATTATCCCTTCAGTCTGAATAGTACATCTACATGTAATTTATTTTCATTCTCAGAAATATCTGCATTTTTTCAGAATCATCCAACAACATATTTTGTGGATATTTGAGCAGTAGTTATGTAGAAATGTTCCTGTGATAGAAAACATATGTACAGTAAAAACAAACAAAGAAATCATTTTGTGAGTTATATTTGATAAATTGAGTATATATGTGCACATGCTTGTAGGACCGTATAGTGCTGGCTAATGCTGACTGGCTGTGTGTTGTTCCATATTGGGCAGTTTGGCCATATGAGACATTGGTATTACCACTCAGACATATTCTCAGACTCCAAGATCTCACAGATGATGAAAAAAATTGTAAGTATCATTGAAAGCCAGAGAAGATTTGGTCAAAAACATTTAGGATCTGAATCTGCATTTATGGATTATGCAGATCGAAAATCATTTAATTAACTGAATAGAGTTTTATCTGTAAATATGCAATTTAAAGTTATAGACTTATTGAATAACATTGGGGGATTTTATTTATACTTTCCAGTTTTCATACATTAGTTAATGGTACTTTTCATAGTAATCAGTCAAAGTTGTATATGAGAATATTTTGATTGTTGGTCAGCATAGGCTAGAACTTAGAGGTATACAGATCTTCAAAACTTTTCAAACAAATAAACATTCTCTCAGAGCATTAGAAAGTGAGATACGTATTTATCAAAGTGATCATCATAACAGTGTCATTTAGTATTGTTTATACAATATATATCTTTGAGACCCATTGGGTAATCTGCAGTGCCCTCTTTTGTTAATGATTTGTCCAACTCTTAAGAGGTGAACTTGTCAACAGGGCTTGAGCTAAGGTTCTTAAAGCACCTGGCCATAATGGCATGGACCAGCTGTCATGTTATTTTCCTAAACCTACTGAAAAAATCAACTGGTTCATATCAAAAGTGACTGGCAAATGACAAGTGGACTCAAGCCCTGCCTATCAAAGGGTCTTTTAAATAGCTTGTCAACAGGGCTTGAGCTAAGGTTCTTAAAGCACCTGGCCATAATGGCATGGACCAGCTGTCATGTTATTTTCCTAAACCTACTGAAAAAATCAACTGGTTCATATCAAAAGTGACTGGCAAATGACAAGTGGACTCAAGCCCTGCCTATCAAAGGGTCTTTTAAATAGCTTAGTGCTTTGCAACTTAATTATAAGACCAGTCCTGTAGCCTGTATTTATTTGAGCAACTCCCATCATGGCTGTATGTTGAAGGTTTCAATCATCTGGAACTGAAAATAGATGTTGATATGTATAAATGAAATGATCACATACAATTATTGTTTCTGTAGACCATTGCTGCATACATTACTATTAGCTAGAAAACATGAGATTGCAATATATGCACTTTTACATTGTAACCGCACACTATATGACATCACTATATTCCTTTGCTATTCACTTACAATTTAACCACACACTATGACATCACTATATTCCCTTGCTATTCACTTACGTTGTAACCACACACTATGACATCACTATATTACCTTGCTATTCACTTACGTTGTAACCACACACTGTGACATCACTATATTCCCTTGCTATTCACTCACGTTGTAACCACACACTATGACATCACTATATTCCCTTGCTATTCACTTACGTTGTAACCACACACTATGACATCACTATATTCCCTTGCTATTCACTTACGTTGTAACCACACACTATGACATCACTATATTCCCTTGCTATTCACTTACGTTGTAACCACACACTATGACATCACTATATTCCCTTGCTATTCACTTACGTTGTAACCACACACTATGACATCACTATATTCCCTTGCTATTCACTTACGTTGTAACCACACACTATGACATCACTATATTACCTTGCTATTCACTTACGTTGTAACCACACACTATGACATCACTATATTCCCTTGCTATTCACTTACGTTGTAACCACACACTATGACATCACTATATTCCCTTGCTATTCACTTACGTTGTAACCACACACTATGACATCACTATATTCCCTTGCTATTCACTTACGTTGTAACCACACACTATGACATCACTATATATTACCTTGCTATTCACTTACGTTGTAACCACACACTATGACATCACTATATTCCCTTGCTATTCACTTACGTTGTAACCACACACTATGACATCACTATATTCCCTTGCTATTCACTTACGTTGTAACCACACACTATGACATCACTATATTCCCTTGCTATTCACTTACGTTGTAACCACACACTATGACATCACTATATTCCCTTGCTATTCACTTACTTTGTTTGTTCCATTCCCCATAATCTCATTTTTCTCTACCAGAGATTTTGCTATGAGATCAACTTTTGATTTTTCAATCTTGGTTTTGGTGACAATTTTCTTTCCGTCCTTAAAAGTCTGCACCTACAGAAAGATTGCACAAAAAATTGTTTTAGATACTGTGGATAGGGTTAATTTGGCGCCTGCTTTAATTTGGCGAATTTGGCAATTTACATCTTCGCCAAAATTTAGAGAAATTTCGCCTGGTGTACTTAAGTCACTTTCAATTTAGTTTTATAAAATCTGAAAAGTATGAGGGTGGTAATCATGTCACTTCTAAATTGGCTCATGGGAATTGCTTCAATAATAAATTACTAGATGTAGTAGTTGAATTGAAGGAATGGGGCGTCAGAGCAATGTCCATGCCCTAGAGCCCACGAAATTAATAGCCGCCAAAAATGGCAAAAACACCAAATTAAGTAGCACCAAATTAACCCAATCTACAGTAGATTCTGTCTTAAATTTAAAGATGAGGTTATTTAAAGACAAGGATATATCAAACAATTCTCATTAAACTCAAAAAGAATTGTGAGACAGTATCACAAAACTTTCAAATTTTAGTTCAAACAAAAATGATTTTACGAAATGTTCAATACATTACATTTGTTTGTATATCAGAATAGTTGGTTGGGAGTTGGTCCAGTTTCACCTCTTCTCTTAGTTGGTTTAGTGGTTGGTTGAATAGAGTCTCCAGGTTCAGATTTTGTGCCGATAACTTTGCAACCAATTCTACAAGATTATCAAAGACTGTATTTCATTTTGTAATGTCTATAGTGTCGTACATTCTAAAAATGACAATTTTGAATGGAAAAGTATTTATCGTGTCAGTTAGTTTTCATCATATATATTGTGTCATTTGAAGTGAAATGTGACAATTCATTTTATAAGGTCAAACATTTTCTTATGCCAAGGTTTCCAAAAAGTTCAGTTTATTGTTTCCAAAAAGTTTAGTTAATTGCCCAGCTTAAAGCTATGACATTATAACAAGCAAATAACGAAAGACCCAAGCAAGAAAACAGAAAACTTAATAAATTAAAAAGATACTTCATTAAGAAAATCCACAGAAATAAACAGAAATTCCAAAGAAAAATAGAAAGCCAAAGACACAAAAAGAAACCAGAAATAAATAAATAAATAGAACAAACATAAATAAAAAAGCAAACTAGAAGAAAAAAGCAAAAAACTGAAAGCAAAGTGATAGAGAATGTCTCGCTTATGTATAAGATATGAAAAAATCACATGTCTGATTACTGGAGATACACTTATTTTTGTACTTAATTTGACGGATTTGCTATATTCATGTCATTAGGGCAGGTATTTACTAAGATGTTTTCTGTATTTCCTTTGGAATAATGTAGAATGGATGACATATTGACAGAAAAAAGGGCCCTGGAAGTTTAATTTACGAAGTTCATTCAGAAAGGACGATTCTCGGTTTGGAGAACAGCCTCCTGGGCTAAAATTTTTTTCATGAAAAATATAGAAATATTACCCAAATTAAACTATGAATATTCAAAAGAGGACAATTAAATCTACAAGATGTAAAAAAACAAATTGGTCTGAAGCAGGGATAATGCTCAAATAGACCAATTCAATAAAATACAAGTCTCGATTCGGGGAAAGAAGTTCATAAATTAAATGTATCTACAGTACCAAAATACAATAGAGTCAGATGGTCCATTATCTATTCTCAGTGGAGAAATTTTATGAAGTTCTATTGTATATTTTTCTTTTGACTATTGACTAGTAAAGTATACAGATGCAAAGAAAATAAAAAAAATATTATGCACTTAAAACTTGTACATGTACATTTAAATAATCATCGATTCTAATAAATGAGCTCCCTACCTTTCAGTTGTGAATCTTGGACAGGGCTAGATATTTTTCCAGTGCTGTCTTGAAATAAGATATAACTAGAACAGTTGCGCCCAGTTCCCATGTAGACCAATGCAATTATAAGTATTAATTTCATCTTCCCAAGTATGTCTCTGTTCCAGAGTTGTTAATACTGTAATAATGTCATCGACTTGTATCAACTGCTACTTTTATACCTTTGCAAATATATACTGTAAAACATCTTAAAAAGGCACGTATGTTATTGCAAGCTTTTTTAGACAGCTCTTACTTAAGTTCTAAAAGGTATTTTCAACTTGCTTCAAATTGCCCAATTTTTTTTCAAAATCATGTACAAGTTATCAGAAATTCAAATCAACTTTAAATTTGAGATTTGACTTTCAATGACTTTCTAAAGGTCCAAAAAGGTCTTTTTCCAACTTGCTTCAACTTGACCAATTTTTTTCAAAATCATCTTTAAGTTCTCAAAAGTTCAAATCTGACTATAGATTTGACCTTCAATGACATTCTCAAGATCAAAAAAGATTTGACCTTAAATGATCTTCTCAAGGTAAAAAGGTATTTTTTCAACTTGCTTCAAATTGACCAATTAAGTTCTCAGAAGTTCAATTCTGACTTTAGATATGAGATTTTACCTTCAATGACCTTCTCAGGGTCAAAAAAGGTCGTTTTTCAACTTGCTTCAAATTGACCATTTTTTCAAAATCATCTACAAGTTCTCAGAAATTCAAATCTGACGTAAGATTGAACTAATAATATTGTGAGCAACTAGGTGGTGACATTTTGTCATGTTAATGCCTTGTCTATGTGTGTCAACTTATCATTTTATGCTTAAGATCTGAGAAATCTGTAACTGAAAAAGTTTATTAGTAGATTGATGTATTTAACCTCTTGAATCCCAGGCTCTAAAATTGGCATGAAATCAGAGAATTTTTCATTTTTGCCACCTTTTGACATTTTATTACATACCTATACAACTTTAGATGCTCAGCTTAGTAAAATTGGACGGCAGAGATCATTTCTACACGTTTTAAAACAATTTTTGTGTAAACTGGATGAACATTGTTCAAATGAGAGCAATTTTTGTGAAAATTTCTGTGACAGATTTTCTCGTCCCTCTGGGCACCAGTCTTATTTCATTTGTGAGGGATATATCCGTCACTCTGGGTATTCAAGAGGTCAATGTATTTTTCATTTATTGATATAGAAGCTGTCATGCTAATGAACCCCATGTGATCAATTACTTTTAGAATTCCTGGTAACCATGATTTATATGCCTACATCCTCAGCTCCCTTTAGGGATCTCTGTCTAGAAGATAAAAATATCACCAGCCCTGAGTATGTAGTTATTTGCTTTTGACATTGATTACAAGCAGCAAGAACACGTCTCTGTATTTCCTAGAAAACTTAATGAACTCATCTCTGGTGTTATTGTATGTGAAGTAAAAATTGGATGTGAATTCTCAGAAAATAATAACTTTGCACCGTATATTGTACTTGCCTGTAGCCAGCTTTTGCCAAGGGGGAGCTTTTGCCAGGGGGAGGGAGCTTTTTGATAGTTTTGGCTAAAATTCATGCAAAAAGTGCTCAGAATGGTGAAAAACTGCATGATTTTGAAAGAATTTCTGGCCAGGGGAGGGAAGCTTCCACTCCCCCAGTTCCCCGCTGGCTACGGGCCTGCTTGTATTAAATAATTTTATATTTTCCCTTCTTGCATGTATAGAATGGTTGCCAAATCAACTCCCTTCAAATTGTAAGAGTGTTTCCGCCCACTCTAGCTGTATAATACAGTATATATTATAATGTGTTTCAGCACTTGCTGATATTATGAAGCGCCTACTGACAAAATATGACAACATGTTTCAAGTGTCTTTCCCTTACTCCATGGGCTGGCATGGTAAGTACACGTAACCTTTCAGGCTTCAGGGAACATTATTTGTGAAAGATGCAAAATTTTTCTCTTCAATAGAACACAGTCAAACAGAACACCCTTCAATGTGAACACTTTTTCTTGGTTCCATGTTTTTCATCGTCCATTGGCTACCATCTATGTAAGAAAAACCATAAAATGTGAACACCTGCTAATCTGTGTGTTTAGCCAGTCCATCTATAAGATATCTATATTCCCCCCAGGGTATACCCCATACCCAGAACCTCCCATAACATAACCCTCATATATCTTATGCATTGCAATATTCAGATTTTCCCCAAATGATCATGTTTATTCAGTTTCGTAGTGTGGTATCCATCATATATATGTATGTATGTATGTATAGCTTTATTGCCCTAAATTAATTAGGAGATACATATTATTTATATGCAGTTATATAGTATAATAAAATTAACATTTGAAAAAGAACAACCTATTTACATAATGTTTGTATTATATATATACATGAATTTGTGTTTCAGAGCATTGACTTCCATCATGAGGATGAAGGTCCATGTTCAGTTAGACAGTGTTCTGTATTATCGAACCTCTGATATTATAATTGATTTGACCAAATCTGCAAACTTTTTCAACTTTAACATAGAATGTTGATCACATGTAGCATTAATGCCGAGAATTGTGTCACAATCAAATCTCACCTTCAATTCAGTACAGAAATTAGCCAGTTGCTCTCTGGCTTGTATGTAACTTTCAGATTTACAATAAAATAAGAAATGTTCTACAGTCTCTGTCTCAAATGAGTCACACATTGTACATAATTTAGATTTGTTATCTCCTCCACGATATTTGCAATTAAGCATATGTTCACCAGTTAACAGTTTGAACATTATAATACAAGAAGCCATGGCTCTTGGAAATTCCTGTGCGACACACCACCATATATTAGGTTTAAGTGCATTAAAGTTCAACTTACGAAAATGATTCAGACCACTGTACATTAGGCTTTTTGTATATGTTCTCTGAAGTTGAACATCTGAGACTTTTGCCAGAATCATCCTTTTCCATGCACATTTATTAATATAAGATTTGCCATATAGAATATCACGCACATCGATTATTAACCCATATGAATCTGCGCATTGAAGCATTGCTTTTATGGGTGAAAACATGTTATATGTAATAATCAATCTATGTTGTAGGTGCCCCCACTGGTGAACATTACAATGAGGACCAGAGTCACTGGCAGTTACATGCAATGTACTACCCCCCTCTGCTCAGATCTGCTACAGTCAAGAAGTTCATGGTGGGCTATGAGATGTTAGCTACTTCTCAACGAGACCTAACTGCTGAACAGGTATATACTAGTATGTCTTATGGTATAAGATTTCCCTGTGCATACAATGCTTTTATTATGTCCCCACCACATAGTGTGGGGCCATATTGTCGGCCTAGGCGCGTCCGTCTGTCCGTCCGTACGTCCGTCCGTCCGTCTGTCCGTCTGTCCGTACGTCCGGGAGTTTTCTCCAAAACCGCTACAGATATCACCTTCAAATTTTCAGGGATAACTTATGAGTGCATACAGATGTGGATGAAAAAATTTTAACTCGATACCTACTTCCTGTCGGCCATTTTGAAGTCAAATGCTAAAATCCTTGTCTGCAAACTTTAAGAAAAACGGCTTCACAGTTGCTTTTAGAACTTTAACATCTTGTTCAGCTCACTTCATTCTAGATCTGATTAGGTTTTGGACCTGTTAGCTCAGTCATGTCAGCCATTTTGAATGTCTTAAGAAAAGTTAGCGCACGATAATACTTTGTATCATATTGAATGGTGTTTTTGAGTTTTCATACTTTAACTATTTAGTAGCTTTATAAATAATTTCAGATCTACTTTGTTGTAAAAGCATATGTTATTGTTAACAGTAGTAATATGTGATAATTTTGTAAGAAGAAATCAGCAAAAACACATAATCACTTTTTTATTGTCGGCCATTTTGGATTTTTCCGTCCTAAAATCTTGTCTGTGAAGTCTTGTCTACGTGTTTTCAGGTGAACCGTTTGGTGGATCAATTTCAAATTTTCAGGGATGATTCTTAGTATAAAAATCTAGATCTGATTAGTTTTTTGGCATTCTGGATAAATGTCAAGGCAGCCATTTTGGATTTTCCGTCTTAAAATCTTGCCTGTAAAGTCTTGTCTACGCGTTTTCAGGTGAACCGTTTGGTAGATCAATTTCAAATTTTCAGAGATGATTCTTAGTATGAAAATGTAGAACTGATTAGTTTTTTGGCATTCTGGGCAAATGTCAAGGCAGCCATTTTGGATTTTCTGTCCTAAAATCTTGTCTGTAAAGTCTTGTCTATGCATTTCCAGGTGAACCGTTCTGTAGATCAATTTCAAATTTTTAGGGATGATTCTTAGTATGAAAATCTAGATCTGATTAGTTTTTTGGCATTCTGGATAAATGTCAAGGCAGCCATTTTGGATTTTCCGTCTTAAAATCTTGCCTGTAAAGTCTTGTCTACGCGTTTTTAGGTGAGCCGTTTGGTAGATCAATTTCAAATTTTCAGGGATGATTCTTAGTGTGAAAACCTACATCTGATTAGTTTTTTGGCATTCTGTGTAAATGTCATGGCAGCCATTTTGGATTTTCTGTCCTAAAATCTTATCTGTAAAGTCTTGTCTACGCGTTTTCAGGTGAACCATTTGGTAGATCAATGTCATATTTTCAGGGATGATTCTTAGTATGAAAATCTAGGAACAGATTAGTTTTTTGACATTCTGGGTAAATGTCAAGGCAGCCATTTTGGATTTTCCATCCTAAAATCTTGTTTGAAAGTCTTGTTTACATGTTTTCTAGTTAACTGTGTGACGGATCAATTAAAATTGTGTTGGTAAAGTCTTGTCTACTCATTTTCAGGATAACCATTTCATGGGATCACCCATTGGTGGGGACATATTGTACACATTTGTGTTCTTGTTTAATATCTACATTATCATGCTTCATAGAGGGAAAAGTCCATGAATTTTGATTTGAAAATGTTTTGGTCACCCTTTTTTGTACATGGTCAGTGGTAGTTTTTTTGTACATGGTCAATGTTTTCCTTAAAACCAGTTTTCTTGCACCAACCATGCATCATTTAGAATGGGACTAGTGAATTGTAATATATGTCTTGTTTGGTTGGATTTGCTACTCCAATGTGTTTTTCTCATTATTTATTACAACCACTGCGATTTTGATTGATTTTTTTATTTTCAGGCTGCAGAAAAGTTAAGAAACTTACCTGATGTGCATTACAAGCAAGCAGAGACAAGTTGATCAAGGCTTTACCCTAGGGGCAATGTCATTTTACATCATTTTAGTGTGAAATTGTGCGAGAACAAAAATGTAGTCATTTATTGATATTAACTATGTGAACTCATTGAAACAGTTTAATGAGGCTATCACAAAGGAACTCCATGAGGACAGTACTAAAGGAATTCCTATATTGAGAGCCAGTGTCCATGCAACTATGCAATAATATTTAATATGTCAGTGTTTTGAACAATTGTATCATACATCTCATTTATAGCTATTTTTAAAACAGCGGAATTATAAGTCGTTTTCAGTGATATACTTTGAGGCACATTATTAATTATGTGAACTCATTGAAACAGTTTAATGAGGCTATCACAAAGGAACTCCATGAGGACAGTACTAAAGGAATTCCTATATTGACAGCCAGTGTCTACGCAACTATGCAATAATATTTAATATGTCAGTGTTTTGAACAATTGTATCATACATCTCATTTATAGCTTTTTTTAAAACAGCGGAATTATAAGTCGTTTTCAGTGATATACTTTGAGGCACATTATTAATTATGTGAACTCATTGAAACAGTTTAATGAGGCTATTATAAAGGAACTCCATGAGGACAGTACTAAAGGAATTCCTATATTGACAGCCAGTGTCTACGCAACTATGCAATAATATTTAATATGTCAGTGTTTTGAACAATTGTATCATACATCTCATTTATAGCTATTTTTAAAACAGCTGAGTTATAAGTCGTTTTCAGTGATATACTTTGAGGCACATTTCTTTACATAGTACATATTCATCTCTCTGGGCCTTTTGTATAATGTGTTCATCCAGATTGGATGATTTACTGATTTTTGGTGTAGTGTTTACAAGAATTTTGGACTCCTGATTGAATTGAAAATCAGTCAAGCAAAGACATAGTAGACATATTAAGATATGCAATCAGAACTGTCACTGCATATTGTCAAGACACCTTATATTTAAAGCAGATATGAAATGGTATTTTTAACCTAAAGGAATCAATTTTTTGATAGATTTATTTGGACATGTTTTCTCATCAGCAGTGTGAAAACCATTTCACTCTTAACGATTGTTATAGCTGCTTAATAAGCAATATTCGAATTGGTTGTGACGTTATTGGCCCCCACGTGATCTCTCACTGGTCCCCACTTGGCCTGTTTTGGTCCATTAGATCATGACGTCATAATGCCAAAATGTTTTGTTATTTGTTTACACAACAATCCTATGGTTGCCGTGACGTTGTGATTACTATGGAACCAATAAACCAAAGCTATATTTTGTATATGACGTTACTAATCACGTGGGGGCCAATTTGATTTATCAGTTAGTTTTATTTCGTTATCTATGACCGTTAGCAGTTATCTAACATTTATTTTATAATGGCTATCGCAAGAACTCTACGGTAGGCTTACAATGGAGAAAACCGTATTTTTGTAGCTGCAAGTTTAGAAAAGCTATTTCAGTTGTCCTTTAAATATATTTATTTATATAATTGTATGGAGAATATTACAACTTGGGAATATTATTTTATTTATTCAGGGGTAGCATGAAATAGGTGGATGTCACTTTAGCATTAAACAAAATCATCTTATATATGTCCGAATATCCTATTTTAACCTATGCCAAGTGGAGTTTTAGGGAGATAAGTTGGTAAGATATATCCCGTATCCTGATTTTGAGGTTTCCATATCCAGAACCTCCATATCTCCCGCTTCGGTGCATATCTTCCCGCTTCCGGTGCATATCTTCCCGCTTCCGGTAATGCAATAAAATGACTTTGCATATGAATGATTTGTTTATTTCTACACCTTGTACTATTGCAATGGCCATATGCCCCTGAAAACTCTACTTGGTATAGGATAAAGTAGTTATGTACGGTCGGTTTGGATATTGGGTTCATCCCTCGTGAGATATGCACATCTACCTTCGGTCCCTACGGTTCCTCAGGTAGACATGCATATCTCCCTCTGGATAAACCCCACATCCAAAACCTCCCAGTACATAACCCTTATATATTTTGTTAGTAAAATTTTAAGTAGGCCTTAATGCTAAGACTTTTGTAGAAGTATACAATAAGAAAGATCTGTATTCATACATATTTATTTAGAAGCATGAATAAAGATGGGATTGAAGGTGTGAAATGTTTGTAAATGTTGTATTGAACAGAAGAGTATTTGAAGTTGATTTCCCATGGTAGAGGGACCAAAGTCGGCACAAATGAAAGTGAATACATGTCCGCACATGTACAAGTAATTTTTTCTGAAAAGAAAACTTCTGGTGAGATGGAGTACCTTGCTAAACATCTCTCAAGCAAAATAGATAGATACTGTATAAACAACAAAACATTGACTTATAATTTGTACATTTATTTATACAGACTAGAAAATATAGTTATGTGGGTTGGTCAGCTCTACAATAAGCCCTTACAAAAAATGACAGGATGGTCATGTGTTCACTTATACCTTTCATTTAAGGGATTACCAAAAATAAGTAGTCATGTCTTTAACTAGTAGTAGTAGTAGTGTGTAAAAATAGTGCACAAAGACATGACAGAACATGAAAGAAGTGAAGAGCGACTACCTATGACTATCCTGCTATTTTTTGTCTAGTCTGAAACTACATCATCCAGTTTTCATGCATGGTCCTCTATGCATGTTGAAATATCTGAGTCTTTTATTAATCTCTTATAAATTATATAAATATTTTTTATTTAATCATAGATGGATGAATGATAAATCTTGAGAAAATCAAAAATTCTTACAGTAACAAGTTATATGAAGACATTGAAAAGGCAAAATTGTAACAATAAATGAGGCTTCTGCCAAGGATTCCACATAATATGATTCATGTGATAAGAAAATCATAGATTACTAGCAAAGCATACTAAGCTTTGTAATAAAACACTTACTTGTGATCAATTAAATATAAGAAGAACATCATATTACAAGTTAATTAGAAGATTTTCAAGATATGCTATACTGTATTTGAACAGGTTTGGTTTATAATTGAAACTGCAACATATGCCTCTAACTCTACGATGCTTATGTGACAATCTACTGGCCATACAAAGCTATACTCTTATTCAAATTGTGTTTAACAAAATCACACCAGCAGCAGAAATTAGTTTGATATTTCTGCGACGATTGCTATCAAATCTTTTATGTTTAATGAGAGTTATAATATCACACATATATCTATGAGATCTTATAAATGGTAACCAAGAAATTCAATAAAATCTGTCCCTATAACATTGTATTAATATTTTTAGCATAAGATTAAGAGGTGCCTTTGATAAGATATAATAAGTGATATCAAATACTGTATCATCTATAAGCAACTACCTAATACACATAAATTTAATTATTAACAATTTAAGAAAATCATAATTATTATTGTTCCTAAATAAGTTACACCTTGCTATGCTAGTCTACCAAAATCTACACAAACATAACACAATATAACATACATCAACCACCCACCTATATTAACATTCATAGAAAAACATACAAATAATTCTATTCAATGGTGCGAATATTAGGAAAAATGCCTAGAATCAACAGCATGCAGTGCTTGTTTAGAGCCATCTATTTTGTACAGATAAAATGATTTCAGAATAAGATAGTGATCAAGAATGTAGATTCAAATAAATCAAAAGATTCCAGAACCCAGAGTTTCTCAAGGATATTGTAAATTACGAACTGTATTTATGATAGCGCCATATTTACTAAGTCATGAGACAGCTGAATTAATACAGGAATCATAATTTACCACATTTTTAAGAATAAGGCTCCAGAATCTAATACACATTACCCAAAGACTAATTGGAAGATTTTAAGAATTAATGTGATCATAAAATTTTCGTTGAATAGCTTTTGTGAATTGTTTCATGTTGTGAAAATAATAATCTACCATAATAATATAATATTTATTTTGTGATGAGGTATGTAAGCATACAGGTCTCAATATACGTACTCTACAAGTAATTATTGCTCTTTGTAATCTGGCCGTGCTTATTCCCCTCCTACTTATATGCTGTTTTAAATAGAGGTGTCAAGTATGTGATAGAGTGACATTACCGTATAACATAGATGCTGTATTCCAAAGCATGGAGACGGGCAATAAATGAACATCACATTGGCCAATGAAAACAGACTTTTCTACAATTATTACCTCTATTCACGTTTTTAAGATTCATGTCTCATGGGAGGTAATCAAATGACTCATAATAGCGAAAAACACCCCAGAAAATCAATTTTGGGAAATCGTAAAAAGAAACAATCATGTCCAGATTTTGGGTTTAGTCTTAATACCAAGAATTCATGAGTTGGAGTGTGTGTGTGTTGACCCTGTTTCTTCTAAAAAACACTACCTCTCTAGAAATATACTGAGTAGTAGGGCTATTGCAAAGTGGGAGGAAATATGTACATGGGTATGGACCAAGCCCTTTAAATTCATGTCTACAAAAATTGGTCATGTGGTTGAGTTGACTATTTAAGGTCAATACAATCTGAATTATCAACAATGATATAAATATACATAGCACAATCTATCGGTTCACATATACAAACTAGTTCCCTGTTGCAAAATATTGTACATATGAAGAGTGAGTGAGTAATACATAGAACACAACTGTTTACAATATACCAGCCATCCTACTTCAAAGTCCATCTGGCAAACATTTTGAAATATTTCCAGCCTTTTTTGAAATTTCATAAAACATCTCATTTCTCCTCTTATACCTTATCCACCAAACAGCCAGTCTTTGCAAATACAATTTCAATTTTTTTTCTTATTTCTGCTATCCATATTGCATTGTGCGTCTCATCCTGCACATTCTAAATTACTGCATTTTCCTCCAAAACTCTCATCTCTCCATTTGTCAACTGCTGTGGTAATAAATAAAAACGTATAGTGTGTATCATGACTCCCCATTACCCGAGTCATCGTCATCATCTTCATAATAACAGTCATCATCATCTTCATCGTCCATGTAATCATCAGCATAAAAATCTGCAAAGTCCATGGAGCTCTCAGACTGGCGAGGTACAGAGCTTGATATACAGTATTCCTCTAAAGTGATAGGCACTTTAACATTGTCTTTTTCAGCTTCTATTTTGGTGGCAGATACCTGCTTGCTGTAATGGAAAATAATCTTTCTTATATGGTGTTTTAAAGGTAGATACAGAACACCTTGTATTATTCATACTTCTATTATTCAGATAATTGCCAAATTCAAAGAATTGCTCTAGACATCTTTGTGTTCCTTATGGATTAGATTATTCATTGAGATGTCGGGTTTTATACTTAATGACCAGTTTCCTTTTGGGCCATTTTAGGTTTATATATTCATTGTGCTTGGTCTTTATATCTTGGTACGCATTATGAAACAAGACACGGAGTGAACAGAATCGCACCCTTGAAAAGAATACAGTTTTCGGGATGGAAAATCTAAAATGACCACCAACATTTACCCAGACTGCCCAAAAACTAATCAGTTTTAAATGCTCATATGAAGAAATATCACTACAATTTTCAGATGAAACCATGTTACAATATGGCTGGAAACCTGTAGATAAGCCTCGACAGACAAGATTTTTGCATGGAAAATTCAAAATGGCTGCTTTAGAAATCTAAAATTCATATTTTCAAAGAAGGTAATATTTTCAAAGTTGGTCAATACTTCTTAAATCCACAGTGAATTAAGATTATTCTTATTCTACTCACATCTATATTATGTGTCATTTCATTCTACTTACCGAATAATATTTTCATATTCTTTATCTTTGCCCTTAGACTCTTTATTTCTGCGATACATGACTGATGCATCAACGTTTGCTGGTGAAAATGTGTTAGGTTCATTCAGGAGAGAGATAACACTGAGCAAGACGGTGCGGACATTCTGTGTAGGGTTCCATCGTTCTGAAGGAAGTTCTCCACTCTGAGGGTCATCAATTGGAGGGTGTAGGATTGAAATACAAACATCTCCATTCTGAAACACAGGAGAAATGCAAGTAAAATGTGTTATCAGATTGTTTAGATCTCTTTTTATGAAGACTGAGTTGAAATGAACTAATACCATTATTTAACAGTACAATAAAAGTTTGGGACTCTAAAGTCATAGCAAAGGAGATTTAATATGTGAGCCAGTGAAAGTAATCAAAATGGAGTCGTCATAAAGGCCTTATCATTTAAGCAATTTTCTCCAAATATCTAGCTAAGTATTTTTTGTAAAGGAGCTAATGAGTTCTATTTTAGTAACTCAAAAGAGCATCATTTTCTATATTGAATCAGACTTCTGATTCATTAATGACCAAGAATCATTTTCTCAATGATTGAGACTGAACAAGTTAAATTTCCTGATCTTACGTATGAATCTGAGTCTATCTAGGCAATATTTTTCAAATTATCTATCGCTTGTCATTTGTTACGACACCAAACACCAACCACCATCCATGAAAAAGTTGGAGACTAACAATATGTTACTACTTCTGGTGGTGATATATCCTGGCAATTGATTATAAAAACTAATATTTATGGAAAACTGTATGAAAGTTTGGAGTTCTGGGCATTACAACCTCTGATCCTCTCAGACAACAATTCCAAGTTCTAGAATTATGGATTATATTGCATAGTTTACAGACTATAGCCCCAAGTTCACAACCATTTTGTGAATGGAACAGTTGAAGAGTCTGAATAAAAGAAAGTCTCGGTTTGGAGAACAGTCTGCTGCACTAATTTTTTTATGAGAAATATAGAAATAACTAGTGTTGTCGCGATGTGCCATAATCGTACATCGGCAATTTTCAGTAGTAAACATCGATGCACATCGCGATGTACATCGAGAAAAAGTTCGAGAAAAGTGCACTGAAATACCGAACGCTAATGCACTAAAATATCGAACAGAACAAATTAATAAGAGTACGTTGGTACATCCGGGAACATAGTAACGGTGAAATGAAAGTAAAGTAATTTTTTTAGATTAATGGTTCATTTCGACTAGCTAAAACAGTTTTAAAGCGAAAGAATATCAGAAAACATTTGAAAATGAAATAAGACATGAAAAAAGGTAAGCAATTTGCGTCAAAATAAGATAAGAAAGGGCGATTTTTAGCAAATTAAATCTTTTTTAAAACATCGATGTTTTGTTTCAGACATCGATGCATCGCCAGAACCAGCTTTGGCGATGTATATCGCGATGTATCGATTAATCGCGACAACACTAGAAATAACACCCAAATTAAATTATGAATATTCAAAAGAGGATATTTAAATCTACGATATGCTAAAATATCAAAATTGTCTGAAGCTGGTGTAACATGCAGTAGACCGATTCAAAAAAAGACAAGTATCGGTTTGGAAAACGAAGTTCATCAGTCTACTGCGGTTATAATTTTTTATAAAAAATATAGAAATAACACCCAAATTAAATTATGAATATTCAATAGAAAACATTTAAATCTACAATATGAAATTCCACATGTTTCACATAGTACTTACCTCATAAACATTTGGATGCCACATTTTGGTATCAAATCTAAGGCTGGGTGGGGAGTAAGGGTAGTCATGGGGGAACTTCATCACTGCCTGAAAAATACAATTACTTCTACATGTCATTGTACAGCATGGCTGAATATTGGCTGGGGTTCATGATCTTTTAAATACACAGCTATGTGTTCTCACTTATATATAAAAGCAGTTTTGTTCAAAATTATTCTTGACCACTGAAGAAATATGGCACTAGACTCAAGAATACTCCAATATCTGAATATGGCAATGGGAAATATGACACTGCATGTGGTTCTGTAGTTCCTAATATGAACATTGTTCTAAATTTATTGATTATTCCACCAGATAAATATTCAATTTATTGATCACAGTCTGCGTTTGATATAAGACAGTATTATATATAGACAGCAGATTGCAATTCTAAGTAATACACGAAGATTGAAAATAAGCCACACTCAAGGACTATTAGCAAAGTAAGACAGTGAGAACACAATCATGATTCATAAAAATTAATTGATCTCTTATAATCACACGGTCCTAACTCACCGGGGCGTATCGAAACCGAAACGCCCAGCAAAACCGTTAATTTGAATTTCAAATCTACCCTGTCTTTGGAAAATCAAGGATTGTGAGTCTCACACTACACCGTTTTCCTAAAACTTGTTCCATTAAAACCTTCACAGAAATACCTTTCTGTCGAGACATTGCTTTTGTTTACAAAGTCCCTCGTTTTAGCGGCGTTTTGGTCCCCAGATGTGAGAAGTTGCAAATCCTCAGAGATTTTAACCATAATTCTTAATATCTCGCCAATTCTTCTATCACTCTCCCCAATATTCTGCGCAAGGACTCCCATTACAACCCTCCATTGCTGCATCAACATATTTATTACATGAAATGCAGCAATTTTGAAAAATCCTACGCAACTGTTCGAAATTGACCAAAACGCCCCATTGTCTACCAAAACGCCCCGCAGTCCAGTCAGCTTCTAGTTAAGGTGTATAGATCCAACGGGGCGTTTTGGAAGAGAATGGGGCGTTTTGATCAATTTCGAACAGATGTGTAGGACTTTTGGAAATTGCTGCGTTTAATGTGATAAATATGTTGATGCAGAGATGGAGGGTTGTAATGGGAGTCCTTGTGCAAAATATAGGGGAGAATAATAAAAGAACTGGCGATATATCGAGGCTTTTGGTTGAAATCTCTGAAGATCTGCATCTTCTCACATCTGGGGACCAAAACGCCGCTAAAACGAGTGACTCTGTACTCAAAAACAATGTCTCGAGTGAAAGGTATATCTGTGAAGGTTTTAATAGAATAAGTTTGAAGAAAAACGGTGTACTGTGAGACTCACAATCATTGATTTTCCAAAGAAAGGGTAGGTTTGAAATTCAAATTAACGGTTTTGCGGGGCATTTTGGTTTTGATACGCCCCGGTGAGTTAGTACCACGTGATAATCATAATTATGGAATAATGTTTCATGTATGATTATACAACATCTTGTCATCGTGGCTCATCTTTTGAACATACTCATTTTTAACATCAAGGCAGACTAAGAGAGATGAATGCTAAGTCACCCATAAATTCTAAATATACTCATATATATTATATTAACAAATTCAAACTGTGTTTAAGTTGAAATACACAATTCACATATATGCCACCACTGAGTTAATATTCCTGGGGCCTGACAATCATTTAACAGGCTGTCTACCCATCAATACATGCCAATTGCATTTCAATCATACCACATATAAGCACCAAATTACACATTATTTATGAAAATTAGCACACACTGATGACAAATTAGAAACAGCTGTTTTATTTTATGAAACAATGATTAGAAATTATAATTAGGGTATGTGACAATCTGCCAGGCTTTTAAACTGAGTATAGACAAATATAATGTATGATTTACACTTATTTGATTGCTTATTTTTTATACTGTTTGTTTCATCCATTCAACATGATGAATTTTAATTAAGTCTATAAAAGTTTGCATCCATTATATTCTTCTTATTTGATACAGGTCGAACCCTTTTGTGCCAAACATTGCCCAATGTTAAAATATGGCATTTCATATTTGTATAAACACTTGTGCTCAAAATATAGAAAATTATATGTTATTCTATCGAAATTGTTTGTACTCCTCCTTATACTTCTAGTTTTGGAAAGTATGGAATAATATTGGGGAAATTTCAAAAGAAACTTCAAGTTTATATCTAAAGGCATGAGGATGTTGAGGAGATCAACAAATCTTGTAGAAATTTTTGGCCTGTCAGGAAAAGTTTTTTGACGACTTGAGCATGAAAGGAAATGATACGATACTCAACGCATATCTAGTTACCAGTATGTACTAAAACCTTGGGACTAAAACCCCATAGGTTACATTGTAAAATTCAGTCCAGAATTCAGTACAAAAGGAAAGTCTTGGGTTTAAAATAAAACACATCTTAATTTCTATAACAATTTCATGGAATAGAGTTTTCAACTTTTAATAAGTTGAGACATAAGTTGTCTGAATCAGATTCCTAATCTGAACTTAGTCTAGTAATCCTACAACATGTGAATCTCCATTATCAGAAACATACTTTAATAACCCATACAAACCATCCCTGACTTTACCTACATCAACCTTCAACAAATAACTTTGTTTATCTTGTATGTTCCTGTTATCTGACCTCAAGCCATAAGTCCAATGTACATTAACTTCAAGTACATAAATATGGAGGATAAAATGGTGCATTATAATAGATGCTTGTGTGGATAAATCATAATTGTTCTTGTATTTGTATCAATGTATGATACTTTCCGTCTTAAATTTTCAATGTTATTCATTGATTCAATATTATTCATTGATTATTCATCACATCCCTATAATAATTGATAATGTGTAAGAAATAAGGATGTTCCTTTGTGATGTTTTGATCAGCTGACCATACACCATGGTGGTGTAAAACCAAAACAAAGAGGATGGATTTTTCAACAAAGAAAATTCTCAAGAAATCTTTTCCTGGTGATCAGAAATGAAATATTTTGATATCAACCTTTAGAATGATGTATACTCTAAATATAAAACACACTTACCTTGAAATAACCCCCTTCATAGAGTGTCTTTGGAGGGCCAAATATAGCTACTTTCCAGTCAAAAAGGTTGTCGTCATTTACAAGACTGACCCTGAATCCTTCGACGGGTTCCTCTTGAATACTCTTCAGTTCTAATTGAAGTGCCCGAACAGCACTACTCGTAGGACTTTGCGCCATTAGATGCTTCTGTTTCAGTCTCCAAACGGGTATGAATCAGGAGATACTACAGATTAAAGACGGAATTTCCTATCGAGAATTTTTTTCTGAAAATCAATATGGCGTTTATGACGTCACTGCACCCGGAAGTAATTTAGCCAATTGCGACTTCTAATTAGATATGTTAGAATCGTATTCTAAGCTTTGATCAATATTTTGTTGATAGCAATGCTCACCACATAAAATTTCAATCATTTGTCTATGATTTCAGCCACTTACAAATTTTTAAAAACGAAAATTTAATTGTTTTGCGACATCTTGTAGTGATTGTCTTACTCACTTACGATGGCTGCTAATTTGACAAGAGAAGAAGAACAGGTTCGTCATTTAAACCTTATTTACTCTATATATTGGTTTCCAAAGCATACATTATGAGCCTGTGTTAATGATCTATATTATATCCATAGAATAATACTAAATTTGCGATGAAAGATGCTGTCTGTGTGATGAAATCGCTTATATATTGTGACCCATTTTTTGTTTCCAAGAATTTCTCAGAGAATTTCATTTCCTGTCTCTTGTACCACAGACTTAGTTCTCCAGCGACATATGGTTGCATAAAAGTTTGCATGTATTTAATGATCAAAACTACAACATGGTCTGTGCATTGAACAAACCTAAAATAGATCTAGACCTATGACAGACTGTAAGTTCAAAAGCAGCGAAATATCGACATCTCGCAGACGAATTGAAGACAAGAGGCAGGCACGCATCCATCCCTATCGAAGTTGGCTGCAGAGGGTTCCCAGCAACATCAATCAGAACCCTATTGTCCAAGCTTGGACTACAAGATATTCAAGCATGTTCTAGTCTCCCCTTTGGTATGCCATTCCCATTACATCCCTAATCCAGCATGTAGCAAAGCATCACGGATGTTTAATGAATGAATGCAATCTAAGTCAGACCATTGAAATATCATTTAAGAAATTATACGTCTTTCAAAGGCTAACTGATCTGTTCATGACGGCTGAAAGTGAAAACCTGAAATCAGCTGCACTAGCTTTCGACTCGTGAATCTGACTTATAAAGTCAGCTACGAATCCATAGATTTTAAATTTTTTTTAAACAAAATCAAACATCAAAAGTACTTTCAATTTGGTATAATGCCCGAATATGTTTAACTACTCCCAAAATTGTTATTTTAGAAACTTGCTCTCACGTCTGTTTTTTCCCTCAGTTCTTGTAACTTCTCTCGTAAATATTATGTAATAATTTGAACTACTCTCACTGACAATTAAGTGATTGGCAGTTCTCGTACATTTGACCTGTAAATATGATATATGCACATGCTTTTCATAACCAATACATATATGTTTCATTATATAGAAGTTCACCGTGCACTGCAACACTGTTCAGTATTGCAGTTTGTCTCATGTGCTATCAAAGTGGGCGGAGCCACATCTATTTCTTAATCAATTTCTCAGCCGAAGCGTAACATGTGGCATGAATGCAAGATCTCGCATGATCAAAATATATCCAGCACCATTTTGAGGTGATATTTCACAAACATTATCCAGCTAAATAGAATAAAGTAGGGATACCTACCTTCATATATTCCAATACAACATCATTTTATAGGATAATTTAAACATTACCTTTTCTTTTATCTAATAAATTTCTTTGTATTTGGGAAGGTTGCGTGCAGTAGTTAAGAAGGAAATCTTCTGCAAAAACTATGATTTACTTTTTGAAGATTTAAACTTCAATTTCACTTTTGAAGTCTGATTTGTATATAAGAATTAATACCTTTTTATTATATCCCCAAATGTTTCACCTGTCTTTTATGTAAAATTATGGAAGTTATCAGCTGCTTTTGTACTGATCTACACCCCCTCTCTGGAAGTTTTTTAAGTGATCCCCCATTGGCAAAATCTGGCTATGGGCCTGCCCTTTTCTAGATAAAACATGAGCATTATAATATATTTTGTCAGTCACAGGCTACTCATCAGTCATATAGCCAATTACCTTTTTGTACTGATTACTGTATATTTCCTTAGTATAAGGGTACGGAATAGACTTGCCTTATCTTTGCCTTTAGAAATTTCACTTTAGTGGATGAGCTAAAGCTACAGTGGAGTGATCACTATTTGAAAAATATTTCACATATTATAAACTGGTTGACGAAAATAATGGTTGCAATAGTTGCAGTTCCCAATCGATGGTTGCAATCACCTGTAAGTGTTTAGTTCAATGGGTAATGGTTGTAATGGTTTTGCAATGGTTTCTCAAAAAAGATTGCGTAACCATTGCAACTTTATGTAAAAAGGTTTAAAAGATTGGGTGAAGTAATGGTTGCGCAATGGTTTTTGGCTCACATAGTGGGCCTAAGGGATCAACCAGGCGTCCGTCCGTTGGTCCGTCTTTCAACATTGGCCGCACAAATTGATGATTTTGACGTCAAAAAGTAAAATTTTCTGTAAATACTAGACACTTTGTTGAAGCCGAACTTTCAAATAACTTGTAGTAGTTGCTGTATATGCAACTTATGTTCTCTGAAGATTTCAAAGCTCTTGAAATTACAGTTTTTGGTGTTTACTCTATAAAATTTGACAAAAAGTAAGACTCATTTTCAGGGAACTTTCTCATGTATATCATCAATGGCAGGTTTTGTGATTGACAAGTTTCTCAAAGTTTGTCCCTATACTTTTTCATTGCTTGCAATGAATTACATCATTACTAGATTTAAGCATTCCCTTAATTTTTACTGTTTTTGAGATATATTATCGTCAAAAATTTTTCAACTTGCTTCAATTTGACCAAATTTTGAGAAAAAATCATCTATAAGTTGCCAGGAGTTCAAATCTGACCTTAGTTTTGAGATTTCACCTTCAGTGACCTTCGAAAGGTCAAAAAAGTTGATTTTTCAAATTGATTATTTGGATGTAAATTTTGGTCAGCTTAATCACAAAAGACCTTACTAAGCTCTGAATAAGTAAAATTTTCAAGGTGAAAGGTCATCAAACTAGGTCACACAACTGTGCTATCTAAGTTTCTCAAAGTTCGAGACTACAAATCCAAAACAATATTTTTGTTTTAAAGTCAGGATATACATTCCAAACTGTGTGAGCACAAGACCGTGGGTCCTATTTTTCCTTTGATCTTAAGGTTGAAATGATGGTTACATGATATGCAATGAAACCATTGAATTTCGGAAAAATGGTTGTTTTTTATAAAGGTCGACTTCTTTTATCGGTTGAGTGTACAAGAAACAAAAATGGTAAATATCATGGAAATACACAAAGTTATGGTCAAACTCTCTGGATATTTCCAAATAAACTTCTACAAATGACTGCACTTTTGAGTAAAAGGGGGCTTCAATCTTTCATTTTCATCCATAGAGCAAAATCATGGTTAATCATGCTTTACCTTTGAATCCCCTAAACTTGTTGATATATGCAATTTTCAGATAACAATAGGTATATGGATTCAAAAATAATCAATGAACAGGATGTAATAACAAGGAAATTTTACCTCTTTTTGTGGTTTCTTTCAATATATTATTTCCTGAAAGCCTAATCAAGGTAAAATGTAATCTGTCGAAATTTTGGAAGGCCTTGTTGTATCTATGATGTAAAGATCAAATTTGATTACTTTCAAATGGTTTACCTTAAGAATCATTCAGTCTACATGGTGACTGCATATTACATTATTTTGTTTTTTAAGAAGCATGTGTTCTCATTTCCTAAAAACACATACATGTATGTTGATAGGAAAGGGAAGTTTATTTTACATGAGTTATCTACACAATCTTCCTTCATTCACATTCTAGCATTTTAGTCTTATTAATTTTTTGACTGAATTAGAAGAGATTGTTATGTTCAGATCCCTCTTCTCCATTCCTTTGTTCACCACCTTACTTTGACAATGAGACCTATTATGGCATGACACATTATTTCAAAATAAGAAAGCCCTTTTTAGCTATACAGTATTAAGTAGTAGGTTAGACTAAATCCTTAGCTTAACAAGATACCTGCTATATATATTTCCAATGTAAAATAGTCATAGTGGTTAAGGTCAAATGCATTCTCTTTATGCACTACCTAAGAAAATTCATGCTTTCAGTTTTTATTAAAAAATATCATAAATGTTGACTATTTATTAAAAACGTAAATTTTACTTTAATTGTTGAGTTTATGACCGGATATTGGAATAAGTTGCAATTTTGAGTAATCCAGTTTCTAATTTAGAGGTAGTTAAGATTTTTTTTTAAATCAGAAGATCATACTGAAATTTGAAGTTGGTATTGAATCAAAAGTAGGTAGGAGAAATAATGCAAATTACATGTACCTTTTAAAAATGAGAGCGCATTGTTAGACTTATTCCGTTCCATGACCTCCGACCCTTAAAATATAGACCTTCATTATAAAGAAAGGGTCATATATCACTATGGTCTTTTTTTGTTGCTTACTGTAGTCAAAACAATTGTTTTAAAGAAATTTCAATTGTGATGTCATAGTGCAATGATTTTAATGAAACATATTGGTATCTATGACATCACAATTGCTTAAATATATTCTGGTTGACAACAAAGAGTACAGAATGCAAACACAACAATTCACAGACATTCTCAAAATGGAGAATCTTGAGCAATCAGAGTTATTATCTGTAAAGAAGCAGATTTTAGAAAATCATAAGATATGATAATGATTTTAAGAATGCGACATAAATTACCACATCATAAAAGTGCATTTAGAATAGGTTACAACTGACTTATCACTATGATCTTTTTTTATTAGCTGTTGCCTTAACAATTACTTTTGAATAATGATAAACTATGATGTCATAATGCAATGCATTTATTGAAATATATTTGTGTCTATGACATCACAATCTCTATGTGACAACAAGGAATGCAAACACAACAAATTAACAGAAGGAATCAAAATGGAGAAATTTGAGCAATCAGACTTCATTTCTGTGAATAAGGATACGTTAGAAAATCATAAGGTATGATAATGATAAATTAAGGACTTGATAGGTAAAATGCCATATTAGATTGAATTGAACATTTTGCATATAAATAGAAAAAATAGATAGCATTTGTGGGTGTTTGTAGGGCTAGAATTCATGTAAACCCATTGCCAGGGTCACTTAATTTCTTGATCTAACAAGTGATTCCTTTTGAATCAACTTAAAGCATCATTGGAATGTAACTCTATGAACTTATTGACATGTGGATTGCGATTTCACATTAGAATTGTGATCCTTATAAGAGTAAATTAACTTTTAAAGGTTTTTCAATATTATGTCAATGGGGATTTAGCCCAACCTTTCTAAAAAAACTTGAAAATCTTCAGAATTTGAATCAAAGTAATTAACTGTGCGAGTCAAAGCATTTTTAATAGAAAATTACACATAGATTTCAAATATGCCATCAAATAGAAGAAAATGTTAGTCTTTAATGGTTGAAAATGCATATCTAAAATCTCATTAAAATGAGACTTCAACTAGATTTCAAAGCTATATGGAAAAAGGACCATTGCACCCAATAATCACTGCTTATGATGAATTAAGAGGTATGAAATAAAAGCCTGGATAGTAAAATAAGATACCTAGTTGTGCAAGTTTGAAACACTTGATTTACAATAATTATTCCTGGTTATAAAGGACAATTGAAAGGACAAACTTGTTTTTTTTGCATTGTAACAGAAAACATTTAGATATTGCTTATTTAACCACTACCTTGTTCAGAAGAGTGAAACAGTTGCCATATTACCAAATATGTCCAAATACATTTATTATTAAGGGGCTGGGTCAATATTTCAAAATCCATCAAAAATGTAATTAATTTAGTTAGGTCTTAACTCCCCTCCACCCCCCCTTCTAACAAAAGTCAAAATGTTGATTTTGCGTGTGGTGTAAACAAGTTAAATGTTCATATGCATACAGTACAACCCCTGAGCATATACAGGGTGGTACAAAAAAAGTGAACCCCTGCAACGGGCTATATTTCCCTTATTACTTGCAGGAATTCTTTCATATTTTCACATGTTGTAGAGGAAGGTCTAAAATTAATGTTGGTACCATAGATTTTTCTTAGTCTTGACATTTGCAGGAATTATAAGACATAACCAAATATGACTGAAAATGTGATTTTCAATATCTGCGATTTTCCTAAACCCTTCAACACCATTCCCCTGACATTTTTTAAGCTGCAGTCTTAAAGAACTAATATTTTCTGACTTTGTTCAATTTTGAATCCCGCACATTATGGCTTAAAACTAGCATCCTACCTTTGTTAGTTGCAAAGTTATTGTGATCCAAAGAAATGTTCTAAGCTTCCATATATGAAAACATTTTCCAGTGAAATCGCGAATATACCCCTATATGATCTGGAAGTGTCAATATCTTCATAAATCATGGACCAATTCTAATGAAATATGGCTCAAGACATTGAATATTGGATTTTCTTTTGATTTTTTAAAGAAATTTGATGAAAGGCTTTTCAGATTCCTGGTCACAGGGTGCAACTTCCTTCCACAAGAGGCCCCCTCTAACTGTGTTTTTTTTTTTTTTTTTTTGTTATTAAAAATATTTATTCTCTAAAATTGTATCTCTAACTGAAAGCTGTTTAAGATCATCCAATGTGTTTCAACAATTTACATGAATCACATTGGTAAACTTTTGCACAATATCTAGTTTTCAGGCATGTTTGTTAAACTCTTGTAATTTCTTCAAAATTTAAGACTGAGAATAAATTATGGCATCAACCAAAATTTTAGACCTTTCTCTACAACATGTGATAATATGAGTCTATTCATGCAAGTATTAAGGAAACTATAGCCTGTTGCAGGGGTTTATGGTGTTTAAACTGCTTCTTTATTCGGTACATTAAATATTCCACAAATACCAAATAAAACAAACAATTTACCAAACCTTTACCCAATCTATCGAATGTTTTTTCTATTTCATCGAATGTAATAATCTATACAAATTATATTCGCTAAAGAGTTTCACTTGTTCTTTGTGTTGGCATTCACATTTGATATTTACACATGTATTTGTGTGATGCAGCGAATCAATTTGTTTTCTCAACGCACGTATAATTCAATTAATTATTTGTACATTCGGTGTTTAAATTATTTATATTCGGTAAATACCGATAAATTTCGTTATTGTTCGATACTTTACGAGACTTTCAGTCATGTGATATATTTGAACGATGTTAATAGCCGCGTGGCCATTTTGCAAATCTCGAGGTTACGTGACAAAATATCGAACAACAACGAAAGTTATCGAATATTACTTTATTGCATTCGGTAAATAGCAAATTAGGTTTCGGTAAAATGCATTAACTATGTCATAGAAAAATAAACCATTTGGTAAATAAAGGCAAACTTATTTTGGTAGGGTTCAAATAGAAATTCAGTATTGTGCATATAATGTGTTACTCTTAAGGAATACCATAACAATTTACTCAAAAAACATATCATTTAGCGAATGAAATATGTAATTTAATGCATAGTATTAAGTGATTGGCTATTTTGAAAACTTCATTTGCTGTAACAAACATATAAACGTTTTTACAGAATGGAAAAATGATTTAGCGAATATAAATATTTCATATATCGAATATATTTGAATTTAATGAATAAAGAAGCAAATATAATGCCATAGGGGTTCACTTTTTTTTGGACCACCCTGTACAATATCTGCTACTGCTATAAACAACATGTTTCAAATTCTCTTTATACATATCTGTTGATCATATCTGTGGATCATACCATGCCTGTCAAACCAGAATTTACAGAAGACAAACTCCGGGAAACTAAAAATCAACTAAAAATTAATGCCTGTCACCTAATTAAATAGCCTTTTACCATCTCCCCTCACAAAATTAATTATATTTTTTGACAGAAAATATTAACCTCGCTCCTAAACAAAATTGATGACTTTATATTTAAATTACTATTTCAGTTGTACTTTCAAGGCTATTTAGGTGCACTTTGTTATTTCAGTTCTTCTTTCCCAATTTTTCTGGGTTCTATTATTTTACCAGGCTATGGGATAAAAGTCTGGAAAACCCAGATAAAGTTCTGGGCAATGAGAAGTATGCAAATGCCTGTCTTTGTATTAGATAGGTTAGGACTTATGGATGACGGAAAAAATTGGTAATAAACTTCATTAACCAATGTGTTTGTTTCATGTATTTACAGCGTGTGAAGCTGTTCACGGATGAGGTGAACCTACACAGACATCGCCTCCAGCAGGGGGCAATAGCATGGAAATATGCTGTGAAGTTTCTCATGGCAAGGAAGTTTGATGTAAAACGTGCTATTGAGTTATACCTTGCACATCAGGTACATTATTCTTTATTAATATTTCTTTTAATCGTGAATCGGAATGTAAATTATTTGACATACCAGCAATTTTCCCATAACAAAGAAATTGACCCATGTCCCATGTAAAAATTAAAAAGTCACTCAGAAGACTTTTTGTACACCTTATAGGCAATCTTTGTTAAGCTTTAACAATAGAATGACAGGAAATATAATTGTTAATGCTAATTAATTGTGTTTGTTTCCTTGTTTTTATATACTTCAGTTTTAATTGCATGATGATTCTTTAATCTTTATTTCATTCAGTGCATACAGAAAAATATCATTCGAAGGGTAAACATGCCTACTGAGTTTAAAAAGATGTTTTCAAGCAACTATCTCAGGTCAGATTCAACATGTAAGTGGTGATTATTTACATGGGACTTGCACCAATTGTTTAAATGGCATCGTCTTTGTTTTAGGATATAAGGAATATCGAGGGAGTTGACCTCATTGATGACAATGACGCAGCCTTCCAACAGGAACTTGCCTCTCAGAAACTCACAATACTGGTATGGATTTTAGATTTTTTAAATTTTTTATTATTAAGTTATTCATTTGTACAAAGAATACAATACAACAATACAACATAGAGGTCGCAACGGTACTGAAAACCAGTACCGGTAACCGTCACGCTAATAACCGTACCGTTACCGAAATACTGGTAAAACTATGTAAGATAAAATGCCAATGAGCTGTCACCCCCACTTTGTTCCTAACTCTCCCCATAGCTTCTCAAGTCGATATGCATACATGGTGCAAGACCGATTTGAACCCATACTGATGAACTTCACGAAATAGTATGTAACTATCTTACGAATCAAGATGTATTTTTAGTTTTAAATTGAATGTATTACACATTTCTAACCATTTCTCAACTGTATCAATAATGAGTTATTCCGTCTCCACTTTATAGCAACCTTCCTACATCCGACTTACAAAAAGATGGTAAGGGCTCTTATGGCCAAAGTATGTTAATATATATTTTGTTTATATTTAAATTTAAAAATGAAAACTTAAGAAAGGCACGGGAGTTCAGATTCTTTTATTTATTTGTTTGCTAAAACACTTTAGCAGAGAGCTTGTACTTTATTTTGTTCACAATTAAAAGCTCAGATACTATCACAAAATATTAAAGTTACAAATAAAATACGAAATGTAGGTTATATTAATTCAACTTATTGTCAATGCCTAGTTGTTCGTAAATGACTATCACAAACATAATTCAGTTTCTGGATCTGACGTTGACACTACAACTACACCAGAACTGCCAAACATAACTACAACCAACTACACTGTATAATCTGAGCCTGAGTATGAAGCTACTACACCCGAACTACCAAACATGGACATCACACCTGAACTGCCAAACATGGAAATCACAGCTGAACTGCCAAACACGGAACATCTAAATTTCTATGTAAATGTACGCATCGTGAAAGTGGAAATTAAACGAAATAATTAGAAAAACGACGTGTCTTTTATTTCCCCGGGGATTATCGTCGGTTAACCGGTTAATAATTTCAATACCGGTAAATGCTCAATTCCGTACCGAAACCGTATAACTGGAATTACCGTCAGCCTCTAATACAACAGTGGCTGTGCTTTTAGCATTATTAGCCACATTCTACAATGACAATATACAATGTATTCAATCAATACTATTGATTAAAATAAATGAGATACAATAAGATAAAAGTTGTTTTGTAGAGGATTTCAGACATTTACACATCGCTCGAAGAAAATGGCACTGCACTTTAAAACAATCAGATTCTCAGCTCTACTTAATATTTTATCACCATTGAGGATCAGATTTTATATTCACATGTATTAATCTAGTATTTGTCCATGATAGTCTTGGAGTTCAAAGACCTTTGAAAAAATCTAGTACTGGATCCTGGATATATGACCTGTCACATGCTTTGATAATATGATACAATATCTCTAATAGACATGTACTTTATCTCAATCTGAAAATGTCACTATGTTCTCAGTTTTCTTAGAAATCAATAAGTAGATCAGTCAGCTTGAAATTAATAAAACTACTAACAGCTACAGAATACCTTACAATGTCTTTCACTTATTGCACAGGGTGGCCCCAAAAAGGAAAATCATTTCTTTAAGTCTCATTCATAGATGCAATACAAGTACACATCTTAGGATTTACAAGAGATTTCATTGATGATTCAAAGAAGATATCAAGATGATTTGCTGAGAGCCATGTTGAATTCTGACATCCATTTGAATGCTTTTCTTCAATTTTTCTTGTTATCTTGATTCCTATCAAACCTGGTCATTACATTTTGGAAAGGTATAATAAGTTAATAACTGTTGCTTGCTTCTTGATTTATGAATTACAGACAAATTGTAAAACCCATGCCCTTTTCACCAGTTAATATGTTATCAAGTTCACTAAAATCATCACAAATACAGCACTTATTATCTGTCAGATATTCAAAAAGAAAATAAGTCAGATGTGTGCCCTGGCATCATGATTGTCATAGACAAGTCAGATATATGTTTGCCCTGGCATCATGATTGCCATAGACAAATCAGAAATATGTTTGCCCTGGCATCATCATTGTCATAGACAAGTCAGATATATGTTTGCCATGGCATCATGATTGTCATAGACAAGTCAGATATATGTTTGCCCTGGTATCATGATTGTCATAGACAAGTCAGATATATGTTTGCCCTGGCATCATGATTGTCATAGACAAGTCAGATATATGTTTGCCCTGGCATCATGATTGTCATAGACAAGTCAGATATATGTTTGCCCTGGCATCATGATTGTTATATACAAGTCAGAAATATGTATGCCCTGGCATCATGATTGTCATATACAAGTCAGAAATATGTTTGCCCTGGCATCATGATTGTCATAGACAAGTCAGAAATATGTATGCCCTGGCATCATGATTGTCATAGACAAGTCAGAAATATGTTTGCCCTGGCATCATATTTGTCATAGACAAGTGAGATATATGTTTGCCCTGGCATCATGATTGTCATCTACAAGTCAGATATATGTATGCCCTGGCATCATGATTGTCATAGACAAGTCAGAAATATGTTTGCCCTGGTATCATGATTGTCATAGACAAGTCAGATATATGTTTGCCCTGGCATCATGATTGTCATAGACAAGTCAGATATATGTTTGCCCTGGCATCATGATTGTCATAGACAAGTCTGAAATATGTATGCCCTGTCATCATGATTGTCATTGACAATTCAGAAATATGTTTGCCCTGGCATTATGATTGCCATAGACAAATCAGAAATATGTTTGCCCTGGCATCATGATTGTCATAGACAAGTCAGATTTATGTATGCCCTGGCATCGTGATTGTCATTGACAATTCAGAAATATGTATGCCCTGGCATCATGATTGTCATAGACAAGTCAGAAATATGTATGCCCTGGCGTCATGATAATCATGACAATGTCATAGACAAGTCAGATATATGTTTGCCCTGGCATCATGATTGTCATAGACAAGTGAGATATATGTTTGCCCTGGCATCATGATTGTCATAGACAAGTCAGATATATGTATGCCCTGGCGTCATGATAATCATGACAATGTCATAGACAAGTCAGATATATGTTTGCCCTGGCATCATGATTGTCATAGACAAGTCAGATATATGTTTGCCCTGGCATCATGATTGTCATAGACAAGTGAGATATATGTTTGCCCTGGCATCATGATTGTCATCTACAAGTCAGATATATGTATGCCCTGGCGTCATGATAATCATGACAATGTCATAGACAAGTCAGATATATGTTTGCCCTGGCATCATGATTGTCATAGACAAGTCAGATATATGTTTGCCCTGGCATCATGATTGTCATAGACAAGTCAGAAATATGTATGCCCTGGCATCATGATTGTTATAGACAAGTCAGATATATGTTTGCCCTGGCATCATGATTGTCATTGACAATTCAGAAATATGTTTGCCCTGGTATCATGATTGCCATAGACAAATCAGAAATATGTTTGCCCTGGCATCATGATTGTCATCTACAAGTCAGATATATGTATTCCCCGTCATCATGATTGTCATAGACAAGTCAGATATATGTTTGCCCTGGCAACATGATTGTCATAGACAAATCAATTCTTAATTAATGAAGCGAATTAGTGAACTGAAATGTAAATATCCAAATATCTCAAATATCTTCCAAATTATTGATGAAGGATAATAAAAGTTTAAAATTACATAATCATTAATCATCTATCTCCATAGCAACACCTTCCAAGAAATTCCCGACAAGCTAGAGTTGATTAATGTATTTAAAATAATCACAGTTAGTCTTTTTCTATTGAGGTTTCTGATTACATTATTTCCAGGAATATAATCATAATTTTCTTGACATTTCAGCCGAGTCGTGATAGTAGGGGAGCATGCATTGCCTTACTGACTGCCCGCCTACACAATCCCGCTCAGACAAAGCACCAGCTGGTCATGAAGAGCCTTATTCTGCAGTTAGACACTGCACTAGAAAGGTAGAGATTATGTTAATTTACAGTTATTGCTTAAACCATGAATTTGGGATCATAATTCATTTAAGAATTGGAGGAAACTTGAACAAATACTTTACTTTCTCTATGTGTTCTCTTTATTTTAGCCAAGGGATATAGACCTGTTTCAAAGAAGCAGGATTTCTAAAGGAATTTCCTTTGCAATTTACAGAGCCCCAATGGACAAGTTATAATTTTAAGTTAACCTGTGTTTGTAGTCATTTTAAACCAGTTATAATTTGTTTCCCTAAACATTTTTGATTCTGTGTATTGTGTATTGTGTGGCATTTAGAATGTTGTTGACAGGGATTTTAATTGCTCTTTCTTACTTAAACTTGAGTCATCAAGTGTCATATAACCATTTAACACAACTTTTTTGAGCTGGCTCAGAATCATTCTCAGATTTTGCCCCACTAAGGGGCGGGGTCAAAATATCGATGTTCATATGGAAACAAAAGTACTTTCGCGAGGGGGGAGGGGGTTTTTGGGCACTTTCGTTGACCAAAAAAACATCGATAATTCGGATCTGATATACAAAAAATAATTGGACTTACCCACTTTTTCTGGCGCTATGTTCTGATAAAAAGGCTTGTTTTCAATAGTTCGTGAGCTTTTTTGTGTGATAGGTCCAAAATATCGGTAGATAAAGACGATAATTCGATCATTTTTCAAATAAATTCCGTACTTTTCCCTCCTCCTTTTGAAGAGTTCAATGCATGCGAACGTGTGTTAATTCACCGTAATAATAACCCGGCAAATAGGATACGATTATTAATGAATGTTTTTTTTGAAGTGACCTAAGCTTTCGTCTAGAGGGGGGGTGGGGGGGTTGTTGTCCAAACGAAATTACTTTCGTCTCCATATGAACATTGATATTTTGACCCCGCCCCTAAATATACTTTTACTATATATTTTTGTATAATATTCACTTGACAGAAGTTTAGCTTGTAGAAAACTAATTTCTCATATCATTTATTGTTGTTAATACAATTATGGCAATGTGGTTTTGATTCACATGTATAACGTTTACTTTCAGCTACACCACACAGCGCAATGGGATGGTTTTCATATATGACATGACGGAGTCTAAATACAGTGACTTTGACTATGATCTGTTTGTATAACATTTACTTTCAGCTACACCACACAGCGCAATGGGATGGTTTTCATATATGACATGACGGAGTCTAAATACAGTGACTTTGACTATGATCTGTTTGTATTACGTTTACTTTCAGCTACACCACAATGGGATGGTTTTCATATATGACATGACGGAGTCTAAATACAGTAAATTTGACTATGATCTAATAACATTTACTTTCAGCTACACCACACAGCGCAGTGGGATGGCTTTCATATATGACATGACTAAGTCTAAATACAGTAACTTTGACTATGATCTGTTTGTATAACATTTACTTTCAGCTACACTACACAGCGCAATGGGATGGTTTTCATATATGACATGACTGAGTCTAAATACAGTAACTTTGACAATGATCTGTTTGTATAACATTTACTTTCAGCTACACCACACAGCGCAATGGGATGGTTTTCATATATGACATGACGGAGTCTAAATACAGTGACTTTGACTATGATCTGTTTGTATTACGTTTACTTTCAGCTACACCACAATGGGATGGTTTTCATATATGACATGACGGAGTCTAAATACAGTAAATTTAAATATGATCTAATAACATTTACTTTCAGCTACACCACACAGCGCAGTGGGATGGCTTTCATATATGACATGACTAAGTCTAAATACAGTAACTTTGACTATGATCTGTTTGTATAACATTTACTTTCAGCTACACTACACAGCGCAATGGGATGGTTTTCATATATGACATGACTGAGTCTAAATACAGTAACTTTGACAATGATCTGTTTGTATAACATTTACTTTCAGCTACACCACACAGCGCAATGGGATGGTTTTCATATATGACATGACAGAGTCTAAATACAGTAACTTTGACTATGATCTGTTTGTATAACATTTACTTTCAGCTACACACAGCGCAATGGGATGGTTTTCATATATGACATGACAGAGTCTAAATACAGTAACTTTGACTATGATTTGTATGTATTACATTTACTTTCAGCTACACCACACAGCGCAATGGGATGGTTTTCATATATGACATGACGGAGTCTAAATACAGTAACTTTGACTATGATCTGTTTGTATAACATTTACTTTCAGCTACACCACACAGCGAAATGGGATGGTTTTCATATATGACATGACTGAGTCTAAATACAGTAACTTTGACTATGATCTGTTTGTATAACATTTACTTTCAGCTACACCACACAGCGCAATGGGATGGTTTTCATATATGACATGACTGAGTCTAAATACAGTAACTTTGACTATGATCTGTTTGTATAACATTTACTTTCAGCTACACCACACAGCGCAATGGGATGGTTTTCATATATGACATGACTGAGTCTAAATGCAGTAACTTTGACTATGATCTGTTTGTATAACATTTACTTTCAGCTACACCACACAGCGCAATGGGATGGTTTTCATATATGACATGATGGAGTCTAAATACAGTAACTTTGACTATGATCTGTTTGTATAACATTTACTTCCAGCTACACCACACAGCGCAATGGGATGGTTTTCATATATGACATGACTGAGTCTAAATACAGTAGCTTTGACTATGATCTGTTTGTATAACATTTACTTTCAGCTTCACCACACAGCGCAATGGGATGGTTTTCATATATGACATGATGGAGTCTAAATACAGTAACTTTGACTATGATCTGTTCGTATAACATTTACTTCCAGCTACACCACACAGCGCAATGGGATGGTTTTCATATATGACATGACAGAGTCTAAATACAGTAACTTTGACTATGATCTGTTTGTATAACATTTACTTTCAGCTACACCACACAGCGCAATGGGATGGTTTTCATATATGACATGACTGAGTCTAAATACAGTAACTTTGACTATGATCTGTTTGTATAACATTTACTTCCAGCTTTGACTATGATCTGTTTGTACATGTATAACATTTACTTTCAGCTACACCACACAGCGCAATGGGATGGTTTTCATATATGACATGATGGAGTCTAAATACAGTAACTTTGACTATGATCTGTTCGTATAACATTTACTTCCAGCTACACCACACAGCGCAATGGGATGGTTTTCATATATGACATGACTGAGTCTAAATACAGTAGCTTTGACTATGATCTGTTTGTACATGTATAACATTTACTTTCAGCTACACCACACAGCGCAATGGGATGGTTTTCATATATGACATGACTGAGTCTAAATACAGTAACTTTGACTATGATCTCAGTATCAAAATCCTCAATGTTTTGAAGGTAAGAGATGTTCAGAAATCACATTTCAATTTAACAATAATAATTTTGTAAAAATATGATTTGGGGTTAAAACTTATAGATAGACTACCCTATAAATGGCTGCCAGTAATGGCTGCCTTTATCAGTAAAGACTACGTTTTTGCAATTTGCTTACTTGAATCAAATATCATACCAAATTACAATTTTTTCGAAATTTTCATTTTGGGATATGTGCTGATGGGTGATTTGATGGGATTTCCTTCTCCATAAAATTACTGTTTTTCATATTTCTATGTAAATGTGTATGTACATATTTGGCGGAGTTCTGACTAACTCACTGCCCGTTTTATTTTGATTAATGTCTTGTCTCCAGGAGCGTTACCCAGCCAGGCTAAAGAAAGTACTCATTGTCACTGCACCATTGTGGTTCAAAGCTCCTTTCAAGATACTCAGACTCTTTGTCAGAGAAAAACTACGGGACAGAGTAAGTTATATACAGTGTAGTTCTATATTCATTTCAATTTATTTGAGAGAAATTTATATGGGACAGCGTAGTATTACAATAAGATGTCAACAAAAAGATTTACTGTAGACAGTATTTATTTAAAGATGTCACTCCAAGCATATTTATCATTCATTGAGTGAAATTATTGTTGAATATTAGATTGTTAGCATTTGAATCTCTCTATCTGATACCTCAAATATGGAGTGATATATTGCAATGAAAAAATATTTTTATTATTACATCTATGTTGTAATGGCAACCATATAAGATTTATAGACAGAAAGAGACACAAAATCAATTACAAATTTAATATCTAAGTATAGAAGACAACTAAATGATGCCATTATGTGAACGTTTTCCAGAAAAATAAGTTGGTATGTAATCACATATAAAGACAAATTATCTTTATTATAAGACATTAGATAATATTGTTGTTGATCTAACCTTGAAATATATATTGATTGTTGAAATGTTTTATATATATGCCATAACAATTTTTATGAAAATATCTTGTACTAATCTTAAGTTTACATGTTCTGTATTTTTGGGTAGTAACTTTTAAATGTTAACATTTTTGAATGACTGTCAATAAAAGTACAGTTACTTTGATTAAGCAGTTGGTCTACAGTGTAATCATCATGTCTTAAACTTATGTCCCAACAGTGCTAAATACTATATGCTAATTACTATGTGTTTTGTAGGTTCATACAGTGAACATCAAGACTTTATCAGCTCATATCTCCAGGGACTCGTTGCCCAGGCAACTTGGGGGCACCCTTGAGGTGCATCATGGCCAGTGGCTTAGGTGCTGCATGGCAACAAGCTCTAGTCAAAACACAGACATTCGCAATGATATAGACAATTATTTTCACACTTATATAGAGCCACCATCTTTGACACCAGATGGGAGTAGTAGTGGATCACAAATACACGACACAAATTTAGTTATCAGTGACATGGAATCGGAGACCTCCAAAGAGACAGTCAGTGAAAAACATAGCGATGAAGATCGAGAGAAAGAGGTTACAGTTGAAAAAGATAATGTAAAATCACCTGGAGCTCCAGAAAAGCCACCGTTAAAACGCCAGAGATCGCCAGCTTCTGTTCGCTTAGGGGAACAACACAAAAATGTACCATCACTACCTTGTAAAAAGAAATCTCCAGCAGATAAGGACGACTTTGAAGAGTCTATACATCAGCCTGATGCCAATGGTCTCACCGTGGAACAGTTAGAGACATACACTCGTAGGAAGACCCGTAGGGGACTCTGCAAAGATTATATGACAATCAAAGCTGAGCGTCCAGCAGGAACATTCAATAATGCCAGGTAGGGAGCCAATATTGCAGTATATTCTATTATCTAGAAAACATTCAAATGATATTAAAAACACATATTTCTGTGCTTGAACACTTTATTTTCTATGTACTTGAACATTCAGCAGCTGCTCTCTATTCTACTTAGGGGTGTATACAGTCATAGAGTCAAAAAATCATATGCCATTTTTATGTTCTGTTTAATATACTTTTATTCTTCTCACTCATTTTGATTGTACTATGTTTCAGGTTAAAGAATAATATTGCCAAGAACCGCTACTCCGATGTGCTGTGTTTGGACCATTCCAGAGTGCGTGTCACACCAGTAGATGAAAATAACACTGATTACATCAATGCTAACTTTGTTGATGGTTACAAGCAGAAGAATGCATATATCAGTACACAAGGTGCCTATACTTTAACATTATATCACATTGTCCACATTACCATATTGTTTTTTAGTAAGCAATAGCTCTTTGGTGTTAAGGCAGAAAAGTCTTTCCACTTTCTTTCCAGTTTTTGTGCTTCAAATATGTTTTTCATGTGCTGAAAAATATAACACAAATTCAAGATTTCTGAATGTACAATTTTTCATGGATGTCTCTGTGAAAATAGTGTAACTAAATTAACAGCTGAAACCCATATTCTACCATATGCTTTGGATCGATATAGTGTAAAAATAGAAACCAAGCATCATTTTTGCCTCGGACCTTTTCAATTAACAAAGTACTAAGTTTATCATTTCTCATTTGTTATATGATCACATTCACATTTTTACAATTTTTTACAACAATTAAGTTAACAACAAGCTAGTTAATGTTTATTTTTGAACATGACTTGGCTTATTAGAACTATAGGGCAGCACCTGGCAGTTAATAACTCTAGTAGTATATTATTTGTTGCAGGCCCCAATCCTAAAACATTTGCAGAGTTCTGGACCATGGTTTGGGAGCAACGAGTGCTAGTTGTTGTCATGACTACCAAGTATGTTTATCATTAGCTAACTTTTGATATTAAGGAGTTTCAATATATAAAGGACTGTGAGTTGTTCATAGAATGAATCAGGGGAGTTTTTTCATGCATTTCGTTTATTTTTTTCATCTAAAACACATCAATACACTTTAAAACATTTCATGACGATAAGATTGCACCATATTATCCTAAAGAAATATTTCTCATTTTCAAGGATTATACTGTGTATCTGGATAAACACTCAATCTTTATTTTTCAAACTTCAGAGGGCTGGGAATCATTGATAATCAGCGCTTTTGAATAATATAAATGCTGTTTTGAATAGGTCTCATGTATGCCAATAATTTCTCAAATTGTTTAAACTTAACACATTCTTTAATCTCTAGGATATTCTCTTGGAGGAATTTCCCATATACCAATGGTATAGTTCCAAGCAGATTTTGAGATAATAGGAAAGTAAATCTTTAATACACACTTTATGGGTTGCAATATAAACGAGAACATAAACGAAATGCATGAAAAAACTCCCCCAATTCATTCTACAAACAACTTGCTGTCCTTTATTGTAAAAACTGATGTATTTCCTAATGTATGATGTCATGAGAACCTTAAAAGATTAAATACAAAAAAGATCCGTGTATTTTGTTTCTGAAAGCTAAGTGCTCTACGGTTTCCATTTATCATATTTGAATTTCAAGGTTTGAGCTAAGGAGTTTTAAATATCCAATCGAAAAAACCTTTTTTTACTACGTAAATTAATATCACTTACCAATTATGTCATTACAATATGCTAAAAGCTACCATAGTCACCTTTTATTGGAACAATTATTTTCTACTTTCACTTTCACTTTCGGTTTCCCGGAAGCCCCGCCCACTCTACGTCATAGTCGCGCATGCGCACCATTCATTTTTCTACCATTTTGAAAGTCACACAAAATTTTCAAAAGTGCGATAAATTGGTACAAAAACGAGCGTTACAAGTCTACTATGTCGACGAATACAACGCAGTTAGATACAACAGAAGGGGTTAATACCCAGGGTGATCCACGAGTTAGCCCAGCGCGCTCGAACAAAGGTAAATCACCGGTTGTGAAGTCTAAAGTTCTAGAAAAAGACCGGCGTGGCCGTAGAGAAAGTCGAAGTACTTCAATTTCTAGTAGGTCAGACTCTGACACTTCGTTTAAAAGACGTAAAAAACATCGTCACAGAGATTCGGCTTCTCCTAAACGGCGACGTCACAGAACTAAATCTATTTCCTCAAGTCCGAGGGGTAGATACAGATCGAGATCCAGGTCTAGATCCAGGTCTAGATCAAGGAGATCACGTTCTCATTCCTCAAGTCCGAGGGTGAGATACAGATCTAAAGATAGACTTCACAATCGTAAAAGGTCTAGATCTAAGTCCAGGTCTAGATACAAGTACAAACATAGATCAAAGTCTAGGTCTAGATCAAAGTCTTTGTCCTCAAGTCCGAGGAAAAGACACAAATCTTCACATCATAGATCTGCTTATAGGTCTCATAGATCTCCTTCTTTAAGTCCAAAGAAGAGATACTATCGTAAACAATCTCCTTCTATAAGTCCTAAAAGGAGACGTTACAGAAATGATAAAGATTCACCCAGATACGATAAGTATCAATGGGAGAGAGATCAATTTATCAATCCGAGAATTGATCAGAGACAGGAAATGACCAAGGCCATGGTCTGTGAATGATGATCACACTCAAGTAAATGATGATCACACACAAGAAAAGGATGATCACATTCAAATAAATGATGATCATCAATTTAAATCACCTCCTTCTCTTACAAGAACCATTTCTCTCAATAGAGACGATGATTCAGTTACTATAGAGTTGGAGAATGATGGTGAACAGGAGGATCCTGATACTAAGCCATCAAATGAGGTGGCAAGAGCCAAATTAGAATTTTTGGCAGCCACTGAAGTCGTTAAAAAATCTTTCCCTGAGATAGCAGAGATGTCAACACCTAAGAATAAGGTCAAATCTTGGTCTCTAGTGAAAGATAAACCTTCAGTATTGACTAATTCTTTACAACTGCCACTTTGCCCAGGTGTAAAGAACAACTTGATTGAAGGAGTCAAAATCTTTAACGACTTACCCCAGGATGCCTTTTCCAAAGATTTACCGAATCTTTGTAAGAAAAGATACAAACTTCCTAAAGCCTTATACCAAATCGTACCAGATGAGGATAAGTTTGAACCCTGTAAAATAGACGAAGATTTTTCGTCCATTGCCAAAACATTCAAGAAGAATGATTCGCAAAAGGCCAAATTAGACCCTCATTTTGCGAATCTGTCATTGAAGACATTGACAGATTGGGAGGGTGTGTCTAGAGAAAATCTAGTTACTTCCTCTCACACTGAATGGTTCATTGGTTCTGTTAAACCACTGTTTGAGGATCTGTTAAAAGAGGAAGGAATGGATCCTTCTATATGTCAGAAAATAGAACAGGCTTTGACATTAATTAAAGCAGCTGGTCACTGCATTGAGGATGGGTATCGTCTTAATGCTTTTTTGCTCAATCAAATAGTTGCATGCAGGAGACATTCTTACCTTTCCATGAAGGCAGATAAAGATATCCCCTTTGCAGATCTCAAAGAACTTATGACTCTTGAGCCCCAAACTGGCAAGTTGTTTCAAGACAACTTGGCCAAAGTGAAAGAAAATTTGAGGAAAGCTAAAAATGATATAGCGCAGAATCAAATTCTTGACTACACCTCTAAAAAGGAGGACAAAAACAAACCCAAAACTTCCAATAAGTTCCAGAACAAAGATAGTTCTTTTCGTGGAAAAGGACGGGGTTCAAAGGGTTTTTCTCGAGGAAGAGGCAGAGGTAAATCTGTCGGTAGAGGAAAGTCCACTGATAAACAGTGACTTATTCCAGGTCGAAAATTACCTCCATACATCGTCAAACGACAAAGTAGGTGGGAGGTTGATGGAATTCTGGCAGGAATGGAGTCAAATAAATGCTTCGGCAAAAGTGATAAACCTTTTAAAAGAAGGCTATTATCTTCCATTCAAAGAAAAGCCAAAGTTACAAAAGACTCCCCTTTGGTCAGAATTCCACAATCCTCTAAAAAGAGCGGCAGTTTTCGACCTAATAAACACTCTCCTAGAGGAGAATGCTATAGAACAAGTAGAAGACATTTCTTCCCCAGGTTTTTACAGTCGAATATTTCTGGTTCCAAAAAAGTCATCCGACAAATGGAGACCCGTGACAGACCTGTCAACTCTAAATCTTTTTCTGAATGTCCCATCATTCAAGATGGACACTCCAGAAATCATCAAAAGAAATCTGGAGAAGGGAATGTACATGACTTCTATAGACCTTCGACAGGCCTATTTGCATGTCCCTATCGCCAGGTCTCACCAGAAATATCTGAGATTTGCCGTGAAAGGTCGGGGAGTCTTCCAATGGAAATGTCTTCCATTTGGTCTAGCAACAGCTCCTTTAATTTTCACAGAGATAGTTTCTCAGATCAAAAAATTCCTTCATTCAATAAATATAAAGATGTTCCAATATCTCGACGATTGGATGATAATAGCATCATCACACCAAGTAAGTTCAGAGAACACGCAGACTGTGTGCAACTTAACGAAAAAGTTAGGCTTTCTCCTAAATCTGGAGAAGTCAGAGTTAAATCCAACTCAGCAACTTACTTACCTGGGCTCACTTTACGACCTAAAGAAAGGTCTAATTTTACCCACTCAATACAGAGTGAAGTTACTCGAAACAGAGATACAGCGTTTCCTAGCGAAACCTTTACAAACAGCAAAATTCTGGAAAAGAATTTTGGGTCTCCTAGCGGCAACAGAGAAAATTGTGCCATTAGGGAGATTGTTCATGAGGGAGATGCAATACGATCTCCAGAGAAATTGGAATGCCTCAAAGGACATGAACATTTTGATTCCATGGTCCAAAATGACAAGACAAGACTTAGTCTGGTGGCTAAACAAGGACAATCTTGTGAAAGGTGTTCCGATTCAAATGCAGAATTCAGTAGATCTAAAACTGTTCACAGACAGTTCAATGACAGCTTGGGGAGCACATTTAGAAAATCTAGAAGTTTCAAAGATGTGGTCCAAACAAGATCTGAACCTGCACATCAACATGAAGGAGTTGATGGCAGTAGAGTTAAGTCTCAAACATTTTCAACCTCAAGTACAGGGGAAAAGGATACAAGTATCCTCAGACAATGCATCCACTGTGGCCTATTTGAAAAATCAAGGCGGCACACATTCTTACCAGTTATTCAAGGTAACAAAAAGAATTCTGCTATGGAATCAAGTCAACAATATAGAAATGACAATACGTCATATTCCAGGGAGATTGAACATTCTGGCAGATGCTCTGTCCAGAAAGTCTCAGATTCTGTCAACAGAGTGGAGTCTGAAAGATCAAATTTTCCATGCAATTTGCAGGAAATGGGGAAAACCTCTAGTAGACCTTTTTGCGACACGACACAACACGAAATTACCTCTATTTGTGTCACCAGTCCCGGATACGCTAGCATGGGAGGTAGATGCTCTAAGTATGGATTAGAAAGGTCTGTGGGCTTATGCCTTTCCCCCGACACCATTAATCTCTCTTGTTCTGAACAAGATGTTGCAAACGACAAATGTGGAAATGATTCTCATTGCCCCATTATGGGAGAAACAAGCATGGTATCCCAGACTGTTAGAGTCTCTTGTAGAGAAACCTCTAAACATTCCAGTAGTTCCAAAAATGTTGAAACAGACAAGACAATGGGTATTTCATCAAAATCCCCAAATATTCAAGCTTCACGCTTGGAGGCTGTCAAACAATCCTTTAAAAACAAAGGCTTTTCAAACAAGGTTGCAGAAAGAATTGCAAAACCTCAAAGAAACTCCTCGATCAAGGTATATGACTCGAAATGGAGAGTCTGGGCTGGTTGGTGTTCTGAACGGAATAGAGATCCATTCAGAACTTCTGTTACTGTAGTAGCCGATTTTCTGAATTGGTTATTTGAAGATAGAAAACTTCAACCAGTTACTATAGCAGGATACAGAACAGCCTTAGGTAATACTCTGAAAGAAACTTCGAATTTAGATATTGGTTCAGATCCTTTGATTTCTTGTTTGCTATCTAATTTCAAACAAGAAAGACCGAGGAATATCTCTAATAAAATTCCAAACTGGGATTTAAATGTGGTCCTACAAGGTCTTATGAGACCTCCTTTTGAACCTATCGAAATTGTTGATTTAAAATATGTCACGTGGAAAACGGTTTTTCTCACTCTGTTAGCTTCTGCAGCAATACGCAGTGAGATACATGCCTTGGTGCTTAAGAAGGTGTCACATAGTATTGACTGGCAATCCATTTTTCTGGGATTCAAATCTGACTTTGTACCCAAGACCTTACTAAAGGCTGGAGGTACTGTCCTGAAGGACATTGAGATAAAAGCCTTAACAGGTTTTTTGACACCAGATCTTCAAGATGACAAACTTTTATGCCCTGTTAGAGCATTAAAAGTTTATATGAGAAGATCAAAGCCCATGAGAGATAAACAACAAAGATTGTTTATATCATACAAGAAAGGCTATAAAGAAGAGATACATGCTAACACAATAACTTCATGGGTGAAGAATTGTGTAGCAAAGGCATTACAGTCTTTTCCCAAGCATGCTGAGCAGGTTTATAAGGTTAAAACTCACCAACTCAGAGCCTTATCAACTTCCATTGCTTTTGCGAAGAATTGCACTCTAGACGAGATTATTCAAGCTGGAAGATGGACTAACTTTAACACGTTCGCTTCATTCTACTTAAAGGAAGTGTCCTTGAAAGACTTCGAAGGCAACCACTTCATTGCTGCGAACAAAACTGTTTAAGTAAGTTTTAAAGTCTTATAGTTCATAATTCTACCAATAAAAGGTGGAAAGTTTTTGTTATTCATCTCCAATTATTTGTTATCAATAATTAAGATATGAATAACAAAGGAGTGTGCTTGGATAAATTATTTTCACTTGTTACTTTTAGTTTTGCGTTGCAAAATTATTTAACTTAATATCCTATGTAAGGATAATGATTCAAGTACGAATTCTAATCAGTTAATGCTGTTTTTGGACTATTTTATTTTCTAAGCTAATATCCCTCCACCTGCTCTGGTGGGATTCAGCATATTGTAATGACATAATTGGTAAGTGATATTAATTTACGTAGTAAAATCCCAAAATTTTATGTAATTTTGGTTTTTATAAGTTAATTATACTTACCTATTATGTCATTACATCAAAAGCCCTCCCTTGCCACCCCGCTTATCAGCTTTAAAATAAGCGTTTCACCTAGTGAAAAATGAATGGTGCGCATGCGCGACTATGACGTAGAGTGGGCGGGGCTTCCGGGAAACCGAAAGTGAAAGTGAAAGTAGAAAATAATTGTTCCAATAAAAGGTGACTATGGTAGCTTTTAGCATATTGTAATGACATAATAGGTAAGTATAATTAACTTATAAAAACCAAAATTACATAAAATTTTGGGAATTTAGAGAACGCCTTTTTCCCTAGATTCATCTAGGTAATAACTGAAACAATGATGGACCAATTTTGTTTGTACAAAAGATGTATTTGAAGTACCTTAGTACATGCATATTGTGGGAATTGAAGTTATATTTGAAAATGGTTGAGGTTTCAAATTTTAGCATTGGTTTAAGAGTATTCCGTCTTGTTTAAATAGTCTATGATATAGTAATATACGGCAAAAAATAATTACAACATTTATTTTGTTTAAAATATCTATTTTGATAATAAGTAGGCATTTCTATAGATGTCGCCTTATGTGTTATGCGCTTTAAGTCGAAAATGATGGAGCGGTTTCATTGACATTTTATATACAGTAAAATCTATCAAATTTGATGGGCACTGGCCAAAAGTGTTTCTATTGGCAAGTGTTCACATTTCAAAGTCTTCAATTATGGAAGTTTATGGCTAAAAAATATGACCGAAAAAAGTGTTCACATTGAGATGTGTTCAGATTAGAGAGTGTTCTGGGGACAAATAGGTTTAAAAAATGTATATATTACATGTATATATAAATTAAAGCATACATATAATTGGTCATTTACATTTTATCTAAAATGGTGGCTATTTTGAAATGTCATCAATTAACTGATTTGTACAATTGTTACCAACATGTCAGTCTTTTCTTCAATAGGAATGTTTATAGGTATTGTTTAATAAATCAGTATTCGTAATCTTTGAGTTCTTACCCACAACATAGCTCTGTGGAGCCATGCTGAATAGATCCAAAGAATTTTAAATGTTTTTTATTTTGTTTATTTTATGAGAATCAATATATTTATTCATTTCATCAATAAAACATAAAAAATGAGTGGACAGAATTTTTATTTCGCAAAGAATGGGTATCGATATGGCGAACTTTTTGAACACACGTTTCTCTTAAACCAGTGATCAAAAATTTCTGAAAATCTTACAAATTGTCAATTCAATGGCCATCTTTTGAATGGTAACAATATAATTTGAAATAAATATACAGGGTGTCCCGAAAGTATGGGCCCCCCCCCTAAGCAGACATATACCAGTGTTGTCATAGTAAGTGGCATATATAATTTAAAGCATATCCAAAGTTACATTGATTCACCAAGTATCATGGTTCAACTTTCAAATGTGAAAAAGTTACAGGCATTTCAAAATTTAGTGTTTGGTCAAAATTAAGTTCAATTTTACGCCAAATCACTCGTAAATGTGTCCTCCCGGGCCATCTTAACAGCTGCAATTCTTTTCGGGTCGGATGGATATTGAGTTGGAAAAAGAGAACGGTGAGGGTAGAAACTCTAAGAAAACTCTTCTAAAGTCCCCTAACAGGTTTTAAGAGGGTTATAAAATTCCACACTCCTATTTGAAGGGCTTTTGAGGTCATATCTGAAAATAATTGCTATTTTTGGGAGATTTTGTTTTAATTTTTTGAATACTTTTTTAAAATCAACCAAAAATTCCTTTGTATAACTTTAATATTGAGAGGTCTAAAAACATGTTGTATATGCTATTTTGTTCCAACAAGGTTCGGAAAGACATTTTATTTCATTCTCAAGAATTGGTAGAAAGGAGCAAAAACAATTGCACTAAAAAAACAAAAAATGTTAACAAAAACAGTTATATAAAATATTTCTAAATGATTTTCGCATTAAATTGTTGTCAATCAGTCAACATTACATAAAATACCATGTTTTTTTACAGAATGTTTTCAATGATTGGTTTAAAAGAAAAACATTGTTGAATTCAGTTCTCCATATCGATACCTATCCTTTGAAAATGCCATTATAACATCTCAAAATTAATTCTGGTTTTCAATGCCATGTCATATAAATAGTCCTTTTCTTGATATAAGTCAAATGTTTAATTTAGGACAATAGAGCGAGGGCGGCTGAAGTGTGGCCAATACTGGCCCCTCGAGGAAGAGACGGCAGAGGAATATGGCGACTACATTGTCATCAACTCAGGCTCTAGACGGGAGGAAAACTACACACTCACCACACTCATCCTACAGAACTTAAAGGTATGCCAGAGAAAGGTTTTAGATGAATTCATTGCCACTCTTAGATAAGGGATGTAATATTATATCAGAAAGATCCTCATTATATTATATATTATTAAAATTCAGTACAATAACCACCAGTGATATTTCTGAGGATATGGAGATCTGTGAGATAATGTTCAGCAAATCATTTATCAGCCCTATATATGGCTGATATCGTATATTAGTTGCTTATCCATATGATGAACAAATTTGATTTTTGGAGAATTTTTGATTGTAAACTTGGGTAAACCCAGAACCAGATTTTTTCTTGTGATATCATTTCATTGTCTTGTAAATATCAGCACTCATTTGATCCAATCACTTGTTTTGATATTTGATAAATAAAAAATATTTTTAATGTGTTGATACAAATGATATCATTTGAAATGATACAATATTCTATATAAAATGATTTTGAATACTTAGTAGTTAGGAAAGAAAACTGTTGAATTTCCTAAAATGCTATAACTTTTTTTTTTTTTTTGTCACCTTATTACTAGTGGTGCAGAAAATAGTCGTAGAGTCACATTATCGATGCATTGATGGTCTTGAATAATCGTGCAGCTCTAGGGTCCATAATCGTGACTTGCTATAGTCCATTTTAAGTCGCTATAGGGAGCCTTACTACAATTAAATGAATTTTGAATGTTCACAGGAAAATAAAAACATGACATAAGCGTAATGCTAATTAAGGAGATATACGAGGGTTGTCCCAGAAGTAATGCACTATATGCTCTAACTTTCTTTAATATTCTTCAACTCAGCTGAAATTTTGTGTATATTACAATTGAACTGTTATCTGTTATATCCTGAAGTTTCAACATCGTACGTTTATGATAAGTATTAAAATGGTTGCTATAGCAACACAAGGGTAGGGTAGGTACCAATTTTTCTAATCATGAAACGCTCTAAAGTGTTATTCTATTTATATTTCTTTCTTTTAAATGATGGGAATTTATTCAGCATGATGTTCACAAAGCACAAATAATGACATGAAATGAAAATGAAATGAAAATTGCCTGCAATTCTCAAACCTGATAAGAAGGCCTTGCGTTTGGTGGCCCAATTTCATCCTTCACAGCCACCTAAATGTATGATACCATGAAAAAAGTATGTAAGGAGTATACAGCAGATAGAACTGCAATTATGAGGTCTACCCCCACCCTACCCCAACTCATCAACTTGATTTTATTATAATATCAACATAGTTTTATCAATTGGCATGAAACTTTCTAGAATAATCAAAATATCTCAAAGGAATATTCACAGCAAATTTCATTGAAAAATATGAAGTATTGATAAAGTTTGAGCATATAGTGCATTACTTCTGGGACAACCCTCGTAGGGCGGTTTATAGAAAGAATATTGCATCTGACCTAGATCTAACCTAGATCTTTGTGTTAATTAAGGCATCAATAGATTGTTTTTCTATAGACTCCTGGCTCCAATTTCCATTTTCAAGTCGACTAGTTTTCTTCGCGACTTGCGCCACTACTTATTACCTTGCAGTAGATTCTTCTTAACCATTCAATTGTCAATCAATAAATCGACTGATTTGTAGGTCTGTTCCATCTACCAGTCACTGACTTCGTAAAGAGTTAAGCATCTTATCTCTTAATTCCTCGTGAAAGGAGTAGAAACATTTTTAATCGATCACGGACAGTCGTCAATATTATTATTGTCTATTATATCAAACATATCCAGCAATATTTTTTTCTAAAAAACCTCACAAATTTTTTAAATAACTACAGATATTATCACAACAAAATGGCAAAATAACGAATAGTGATGCATATACTGTATGGGTTTGTTTCTATTAGGTTACCTGAATAATACATTCTGTTTTGATCTGAAAACAATCTTTAATTAATTTCTTAGATGAGTGTGATAAGATTATTATTAGAGATTTCAGTTGATGTCATACAGGAAATCATTATTACTTATAAGTTATACTTTGATGTTGTAGATGTTCCTTATCACAAACATATCAAATGATAAGTTGAGAAGTTTGAGAACACAATGTCACAATTTTGTGATATTTTCTTACATGTTATGCCTATTTTCTGAAATACCTAACATTAATTTAAAGATATTCTTTCAATTTTAATGCGACCTAACAATAGATTTGTTCCTTTTTCAACTCTGATGAAATTTGATATTCCCGAATCTTGATCATTTATCTCAATTCTTTTTTTCATTGATTGCTTTCAACATTTTATGCCCTATATATCCATTTAATCCTAGTTTCTTTAAGAGTTGCTAAAAATATGAGGATTAAAAGATAAACCAAATTATGATAAACTAAATAATTGACAATCTCATAAGATAAAAACTAAAACTCAACAAGCTTAAATCTCTCTTTGTGAACTTATTTTTGTTAATATATTAATACATATAATATTTTTTTAGTATGAAAATATATGAAGCATCCAGCCAAACGACAAAATATGAACTTTGCTCAGTTGGTCGGTCACACAGCGAGGAATGTAATCAATCAACGCCATTGGCAGATTGTTATATCATGTCCAATTTAGATTATTCATTTCATTATTTCTATAAAAATTGCACATGGTTACCACACTTTAATAATCACCTGGTCCATTTTTCTGTTCCTAACGAGGTAATTTTCATCATATTTCATGATCCTCTTACAGATTTGATCAATTAATTAATTTCTAGAGTAATTCTAGTAAGAGGACATCACCCTTAGTCAGTTCAGTTAAGGTTACAATCTTAGCACAGTGAGGTCTGTGTATAGCTGTTATATTATACCCATCTATGTATCCTTTATGATGTAAGCCCCTCATTATCCATTGGAACGAAAAGAACACCTCCATAAGCCGTATGTAAGTCATATCCACCATTGGAGGATAACAAAGTTCTGCTTGAAAGCCAATTTTCATTTTTGTAGAAATTTTATGAACATTTACATGTACTGAGTATGTTAAAACTCATATATATAAACTTATAATTTTGTTTTCCTGCAAATAAGTATTAATGCTACTTAGTTAAAATATTAATAATACATATAAGTATTTATAATACTTGAGTCCATTTTCTGAACTTTATTATTTATTATCAATTCATCCTGATGTGCATTTTTGAAAATAATTATTATCTGATAAGCGTTTATATTTACATGCATTTACATTTAATCATACTATGACAAGAAAATATATCTTGTAGACCATGGTTTAATTTGCCCTTTTTTGCTCACAAGTGGAACACCAATTTGCTTGAAATTATACAGGTTCCTTACTTAATTTCTCGGCTATCAATAATGTTTAAAAGTTTTGGTAAAATAAGTGGCAAAGATTCAAAATGGCTGCCACTTTTATCATAAGAAATAAGAATGGTGAAATATTTTTCGTTTACCTTGTTCCAAAGATATTTGCCTTTGAATTTTTGAAAATCCCTATTGGCTGCCATTATAAATGGCTATCAGTATGGCTTTACTAAAGTGTCCTTTTCTCAGAGAGTTTACTGTGGAATTTTCTAATATTGCAGATTTCTATAGTTGATATATTGATTTAAAAAAATCTAACATTTACATTTCTGAAAATTTCTTATTTTTAATATATTCAGCCATTAAGTTGAACATATAATAAATTAACATAACAGAACAGTTATAGTTTTTGACGGCTAAATATATTAAAATTAAAAATCAGAAATGTGCCTGTTTGATTTTTCTAAAATCAACATATTAAGTATAGAAATATACAATATATTAGAAAATTCCACAGTGGACTTTTTGAGAAAGGGACACTTTAGTAAAGCCACATTCATAGCCGTTTATAATGGCAGCCAATTGGATTTTTTTCAAAATTCAAACGTCAATATCTATCTTTGGAACTAGGTAAAAGAAAAAATTTAACCCTTCTTATTTTGAAGATAATCATGTTATTGTAAAGTACTGGGAGAATGGTGATTTTTACTCTAAAACTGTTTTGCAGGGGGTCTTTTGAAGATTGATAAATTAACATGGGGCTCTATACAGTTTTTTTTCATAATTTTAACGGTTGAATATATCAAAAATAAGAAATTTTTAGAAATGTACCTGTTTGATTTTTTTTAAATCACTATATTAACTATAGAAATCTGCAATATTAGAAAATTTCACAGTGGACTTTTTCAGAAAATGACACTTATGCAAAGCCATATTGATATGCATTTTTAATAGCAGCCAATGGGGAATATCCAAAATTCAAACGCCAATATCTTTTGGAGCAGGTAAAAGAAAAAATTTAACGATTCTTATTTTGAAGATAATCATGTTATTGTAACATACTAGGAAAATGGTGATTTTTACTCTAAAACTGTTCTGCAGGGGGTCTTTTGAAGATTGATAAATTAACATGGGGCTCAATATAGTTTTTTTACAATTTTAACGGTTAAATATATCAAAAATAAGAAATTTTTAGAAATGTACCTGTTTGATTTTTTTTAAATCACTATATTAACTATAGAAATCTGCAATATTAGAAAATTTCACAGTGGACTTTTTGAGAAAAGGACACTTTAGTAAAGATATATTGATAGCCGTTTATAATGGCAGCCAATGGGATTTTTCCAAAATTCAAACGTCAATATCTTTGGAACTAGGTAAAAGAAAAAATGTAACCCTTCTTATTTTGAAGATGATCATGTTATTGTAACATACTAGGAGAATGGGCATTATTACTCTAAAACTGTTCTGCAGGGGGGTCTTTTGAAGATTGATAAATTAACATAGAGCTCAATGTAAATGAGCAAAATTTTGGAGGCCTGCTATTTTCAACTAGGGCCACTTTTCAACACCACTTCATTATTCCATCAAACGAAGTTCGGAGGGATATAGGGAACGCCTCCGTCCGTCCGTCCGGGCGATAACTCAAATACCGTTGGCCTGATTTTGTTCATATTTTGTACACATATACCCTATGGGAGTAGAAGTTCTGCTCGAAAGCTGATTTTCAAAATGGCCGCTCAGTTCAAAATGG